TATGATATACCTTTAGTCTGACTGTGTGCCCTTCATCTCTCACCTCCTCCATCTGTCCATTGGCTGCTGTCTTTATCCTCACTGTGTGCAACTACATTTTTTGGCAGTGAAATGCACAATCTAATGACAGTGAGTGTGAAATCTCTATTATTTGGTGTTCCCTCAATCTTTATCCCCCCGTCTCTCTCTGCTGGTGAAAATATCTCAGTGCCACAGATCTCGAGACTTAAGCGTGCGGTTACAGAAAACAGCGATCAGTTTGTTTTAAGCCAGATGTCAGCAACCTTGCTGCGGGAGCTCTGTGTGCTGCGACTGTAAAGTATGAGGAGATAAGATTAGATGTACACACGTTCAAGGGCAACTGCACCCTGCACGTCAACAGTATGTCAGAGATTGATTGCATAAGGAAAGGCACGTGCACACTCTGTATGTATTTGCATGCATGCACTAAAAAAACTCACCGCATTGTTTTCTCATATTTCACTGAATTTGTCAGAATGATATTTCACTATTTATTAACCAGCTGCCTCCAACCGATTTGCAGTGCTTCCTCTGTCTGGCTTCTCCTCTCCAATGGCGTTCTCTCCATCCACTGGCATGTCGAAGGCCAACTCTCTTCTGGACCTTGGATCCAGCAGGTGAGACCCAATAAATAAAAACATTCTGTGTAAAAAAAAAAAAAAAAAACATCAGCTCCCCCAGACACCCTGTAAGGAGAATTTGGCTCATTTTGAATGTCCTCTTTCTGCACACCAAGTTCCCCTTGAAGCTAGATTCTGAATCAAGTACCCAGAAGTTTATGAGGCAGTGTAAGGATTGTTTTTTTAAAAAAAAAAAATTAAACAATTTATTAATTTTCCGTAACTGCTTATCCTGTTGGAGCCACCACGAAGGATTTCTAAAATGCAACATTTATTTTTGCAGTAATTTTAAGGGGAAACGCTGGTATAAACACAGGTCTAAGTCACACCACACGACCAGCAGCCCATTAGTCCAGTGCTTACTGAGAGGCAGAGCTTTTGCAGGAAGGGTTTAGGATCAGAACACAGGAAAGATGAAACACTTAGATAACACAGAGAGCAGGAAGGGCATTTTGAAATCAGATGTTCTAGTTGGCAACAGAAGGAAGGGGGGGTTGTTTACAGTCACAAACATTAGAGGAGAGCTGGAATCAAATAGCATTCTTACAGAAGGAGGTCACTGTTACTGTGAAGTTTCCATCTATCATTAGTCGCCATATTAGGTCCACCTCATTGGTGTTTTATATCAGTAATGACTGACTGGATTGCCATCTCACCAGAGGATCAACCTTACTGACTTTCATGATCCTGAATTTACCTCCATCTCCACCATAACGGTTACATTTGTAGTTTTGAGTTACATTTTTAACAATTACTGGGTGGATTGCATCTTGAACGGGCTGTTATGATACCACAGCTATCGCACATTCACATATATGTAGTTTTTTGTCAAGCCACAAGCATCACGTAGGTTTACATTAACAAAAGGTTTATGACTAAATCACTTGTAGCATTGACTCCCGTGTGCACACAGCGAGAAAGGACAGGGAGAGACACTAAGCTGCAGCCAGAGGAGCCGCTGAATGAGTTCCCTCTGAGCCATAAGGAGCTAAAAGAGTGTGAGAAGTCCGGGGCTGTTTATAAAACATTCAGGACGCCACAGTTTATTCCACACTACTGAAGCTGCTCCTCTTTTTGGAACCACCGCGGAGTCGGTAATAATGTTGCTTTCAGCCAAGCTTGTTGTTGCTGTGGGTAACACAGTGACATCAATATGTCATCAAGCCGAAATATCACAAGTATCAGGATATGAATTTTTTATATCGTATTAAATATTTTACCACTTTCATCATGAACGAAATGATATGCCACACCCCTAGTTGTTTGTTTGTTTGTTTTTTTCCAAAAAAAAAAAAAGAGAGCCCCATCAAATCTGAAAGGATAACCCTATTTTCCCATGTTTTTGTGTACAGATGACTAATGGAAACAACATTTTTTGATTATGGTCCAGTATTGAGTGAGCCAGCAGTCGCAAAACAGGCTGCAGTGTCACCACTCAGGCAGTGTTGCCAACTTGGCAAAGTTCACAGTAGATTCTGCGACTTTTCAGACCCTCTTATTGACTTAATTTCTAAAAGGCGACAAGTGACAAATTAGCAACTTATTCAGACCGTTAAGGAAAAAGTGAGAAAAATATTATATTGTAATTTAATACCACACATGCTGCTCAGAGTCATTGCAGTCCATGGCTTATCTGCCATCAACACGGGGACTCTTCCCCTCTCTTCTCTTGCACTGTGCAATGGGTGTGGGGCAGGCAGGGGAAGAGAGGATGCCGCTCACTTTGTGAGTTCAGTTGTATTGAGTTTCTTTTGTTACGCTGACGCTCCCGGTCTCTGGTTTGGAAGTGTGAGAAAGTCGTGCACGATAGTATAAGTGCCGTAGATCTCATGCCATTCAAATGCTTTATCTAATGATCCAATTCAGTCAAGTTTTAATGCTTCCATTAAGGTGCACTGTTTGCACTGTCAATTTAAGTCCACTAACAGTGCTTGTTTTTGCCACTGATGGGCTCAGATTGTGTGGAAAGGATCCCTACAGAGATAGACCTTTTTGTAAAGAGTAACATCCTTTTTGTTTAACCAGAAACAGCTCTGAAATCACTGTCGCCAAACCCACCAGACTCCATTTAAACAAACAAGAATTTTATCATTGTAAAACACACTTCATTCAAAGTCGATAGGAAAAAAAACAAAACTCTGGTATGGTTTAAATAAAGCCTTAATTTTCCCAGTTAGATGTGAAAATATGCTGACTCTATACATGCTAAAATTACTGTTTATTTACCCTTTCAGTTGTTTGAGTTTAGTGCTAATTAGCAAATGTTGACATGACAACAAGCTAAACTAAGATAGTGAGCATGGTATATAATAAACCTACTAAACATCAGCATGTTAGCATTGTCATTGTGTTAGCATCCCAATGTTAGCATTTAGCCCAAAGCACTGCTGTACTTATGCAGCTGCCAGCATGGCTGTAGACTGTAGTTTGGTCCAAGACAAACTGAGTTTTTGTTTCAGTTGCAGGACAAAGACACAGGTCACAGATAGATGTAGATTAAAGGAGATATAGTATGATGTTTATTGAGTGGTTTTAATAGCTTGTCACTAGCGAGTTTTGTCAAATTAAATGCTAATAGTATCACATGTTTTCAGTCGTGAATGTTAACTTAGGTCTCAAAGTGGAAATGGAGTGGAAATATGAGATGGCGACTGGAGGGGTTAGTGGTCCTACATCTATGACAGTCCAACTTTCATTTGTGTTTTTGCACAAAGCACTTTGTCTCTGCCTGGAATAGTCACAGCAGTGGGAGTCAACAAAGATGAAACCAGAGTCTGGGTGGTTTTGTGCAGTTTCAGTAACAGCAAGATTCCCTTCAAAAAAGACAATAGAAGTATCCACTATCCTTGATACTTCTCATTGTGTGGTTTGGGAAAAGGATAGGAGTGGTATCTGATTTCGTTTTGAGAGTAATGGTTTAAATGGCCCAGTGTTTGTCCTGGCCTCAGGTGTAGGTGGTAAGACAAACATAAATAAGGGCGATGGGAGTGTTAGGAAGTCAAATAGCAGGACAGGTTGATCCAGCAGACACCCACATCGCGTTAACCTTCCAGTCCTCATGGAGACATCCTCTTATATCATACTTGACACTTTGTTCTTGTCCTGCTTTGTTTTCTTTTCAGACCAACACTCTCAGAAATAAGGGTCTTCCTGAAGGGCTGAGGTTTTACGTACAAGCAATTGAAGAGTTCTTGAAAGGGTTCTTCGTAAGACTAAGGGTTCCGATAGAGTCCTTTTTTGAAGGATTGTTGAAAACATGGGCCCTCAGATATCCAAATGTTTATCCATGTTCCAAATGGAATTCCTTGTTGATGTGTCTGGATCCCCTCAGTCGATTCATTTTACTTGTGTTCTGTCATAGTTGATAAGGGCGGATATTTTGCCATACAATACAGCATGGTTTGCTGAAATTCTTGTTTTTTTTGTTTGCTTGGTTGTTGTTTTTTTTTCATAGGTACCTGGTAACTGCCATTTTTGTATTCTGTTCTTATTTGGCAACAAGTTACGGCTCCCAATCCGTCTGTGCCATTAAAATAGTTAAGGCTATAGTAGTAGTAATTTCATGAATTCTATCCCCCCTAAAAACCTGATTGTGAACAATTATTTTTGTGAGTTGCGTTCGACTACATCAGCCCCAGCCCTATAGGGGCCTTACGAAGCTCAAGACCTCTGGTCGTGGTTCCCTTGACCACAACCTAACCTGTTAAACATAAACCAGAATTAGTGTAATGTAACCAATGTAATCAATTACTACTTGTAGAGCCCCAGTGGGTGGTTTCTAAATGAAACCCTTTGAATATAAAAGGGCTCTTGGTAGAACCTCCTGTATGGGTCCTCGTTAGCACCCTTAGAAAGGTCTGGATAGGACCCCCAGATACCCCGTTTCCACCAAATTAACTCTGGCTCTTGAACCAGTTCCGTTCAAGACTCTTGGAACCTTGGTGCTATCTAGTGAACCAGCCCACAATTTGAACAGTTTTGATCAGAACTATTGTAATCAAGGACACATTAACTGAGGGTGTTGCACAATGCACAACAGAAGTAAACAGTGTTGGCAAAATGGCTTTTTGCATTGACAATCTGCAAGCATTTGTTCTGTTATTACAGATATTTTTTTGATCCAACAAAACAGGCATGGACCAACTATTAAGGAGATCACTGCACGCTTTTTTTCTGACAGTTTCTCACACGACTCCTCCATTGTTGCCTTCTCCCTCCTCTCTTTCCAACCTGTAGAATATGACACACCTACTGATGTTGTCAGAGTTCGCACTTCAGGTCAAGGAAAACCTGCTATTTTTTTTGTTTGTTTCCAACTGAGAACCAACTTTTCAGGTTCTGAACCAATTTAATTTTTTTTTTGTCAAAATGTTCAGAACAATTCATAATTAGGTGCAGGAACCATAATGGAACTAGTGCCATGTTGGTGGAAAATGGGTAATAGGAGCGTCTGGGTGGAACCTTACACAGATGGTTATAGGTATTACCCTTCATGTTGTGTTCTAGGTAAAAGTTTCCAGGTGGAACCTTAAGAAAAGGTTCTACCAGGAACCAAAAAGGGTTTCTCAATGGGGACAAGCCAAAGAACCCTATATGGTTCTAGTTAACACCTTTATTTCTAAGAGTGTATAACAAATTTGAAGAGAAATGACTTTTGCCTTATTGGTGGCTCGAATTCTTACACACACATTTTGTACTTTTATCTTTGTAAGGACATAATGCATTCCCTAGCCCCTTACCCTAACCTAACCTAAACCATCACAACTAATTTAATACCCCAACCCTTAACCTTACCCTAAGCTAAACCTAATTGTAACCTGAACCTTAAAAACCAGGGCCCGTATTCACAAAGAATCCTAAGACTAAAAGTAACTCTTAGTGACGTCATTCTAAAGAAAAATTTGGAATTCCTCGAATTTTAAGATTTTTCTTAGAATTTTCCCTTGGTAAGATAAAAGTTATTCACAAAGCATCTTAGGCCTTAAGAGAGCTCCTAAGGTGAAAAACTGTTAAGAGGAGGAAGGAGGACTTTTAAGAAGCCTAAGAGTGTCTTAAACAGAGAAGATGGCGGAAAGACAGAGAGGAAGGAGAGATATTCTCCGTATATTGAACGACAGTGATTTAATAAGACGCTACCGGCTTGATCGTGCAGAGATAATGTTTGTGGTTGACCTCATCAGGGATGAGCTTACTTTTCCCACCCAGCGTAGTAACGCAATAATGCCTGAGATGAAGGTCATCACAACATTGCGATGCCTGGCTACGGGGAAAATGCAACAGTGTGTAGCAGTGATGACTTGGGTCTGTCACAACCCTCTGTCAGCAGAGTGGCCAGTCATACCATTAGGCTACGGTGCTTTAACAGCCTCATATTGCTGCATTCTCCGCTCTCGCTTTGGATTGCAGCACGTAGGAGCGCTTCTCACACTCATCGCTTGTGCGTAAAAGGAGAGGGAAAGAGGCATTGATGTGTCGGGCAATGCGCTCCCAGGTCTACCTCTTCCCTTGTGCCGTGATCCCGGGACCGAATTTCCCTCTTAAAACTCCTTTGTTCTCCTCCACGAGCTGTGACAACAGCAGGCACTGCTCTTCTGTCCAGTTCGGCTTCTCTCGTTTTTTCTCCATTTCATTCATTGTTTTGGTCATTCTGCCAAATCAAACCGCTTTTTACAAGGAGGCCAGCAATCATAGTAATTGCTGACAGCTGAGTCTGCGTCCACCATTAATATCAAATAGATTAAGTAGTAAAATTACCAGCATGGCGAGTAAACATAACATTAAGTAAATCAATAGGCTATAATAATCGGCATGTGAATGAGGTACGTTCAAACATTTTGAAGCTGTGTAACAATTAATTTAATTTTGCTGAGTTTCATCATCATGACATAAAATTATTTTCACAATTACACATTTCTTAATACAGTCTAAGTTCTATGATCGGTTGATTTCACTGTCCATTCATTACTAGGAGCGCTTTTTTTTGTAACAACCAATCACAGCTTTTAGAATACTGCATCATACCTAGCAATGGGTTCAACCACACCTCCTCACTAGGATAAAAGTTTCTGTCCCCTCCTTGCTCAGAGTTGCTCTCAGAAACTTCCTGAATCACTCTTAAACTAAGATTCCTTGCTAGGAATTTTTAGGCTAAGTTAGGAGCTCTCTGAGAGGACTCTGAGAATCTTTGTGAATACGGGCCCTGGTCTTAACCCTCAAACAGGCCTTTGAAGAAGTGAGGACTGGCCGCAAACATCTTCACTCTGTGGCTAAAATCTGTTTTTTGGTCCTCACTATGTAGCCAGTACAAGTACACACAGATACACTCACACTCAAAATAACACAGAAAAGAAGCCTCTGGATAGAGGGAGGATCCCACACTGCATCTCCTATTGTCTCCCTGAAACCTCTTCTTTTATTTCAGAGGAGTGTTGCATGCTTCCGCCCAGCTATAATGGAACGGAAAAAAGTACATTCTTCTCAAAAGAACATCATCGACCCAGCCTATCCTTTTGCTATTCTTGCAGAGGCGTTGTTTATAATAAAAACAGAACGGCTGATTAGCATAGCCCGAGAGTACTGCGCTGTCTCGTTTCAGAGAGTCATTGTCTACGTGGTCGTTTGCTTCCTCTACAGCTAATTAAGAGCTGAGAGATAACACCGGGGAGTCTCGGAGCAATTAGTGGTTTAAAGTTAAGACTTGAATACAAGGGAGAAAAGAAACACTGACCACATAATATTGTTGTGTAACTTCCCTTTAGGTGATATCTTTGCGTGTCAACATGTCTCTTTTCTCTCTGTCCATAGTTCAAACTCTTCCTCCACCACGTCGTTGGCCAGTAACTCTCCAAAGACAGGCGCAAGTGACTGGGCCGTTCCGCAGAGCTCGAGACTCAAGTACCGTCAGCAGTTCAACACACTAGACAAGCTCATGAGTGGCTACTTGTCTGGTAGGTCCCACACACACACACACACACACACACACACACACACATATATGTACACACTCCAGCCTAAATAAACACGAGGTTCTCAGGACCGCTTGGCCGCTCATGAGTGGCCTTCTCAAAGTTTGACAGAGCATACTCACGGTCAGCTTCACTTTACACACATGCACTCACGTACTCTTGTGATTGCACTTAACCCCACTTGACAGAACGTGGTAGTCAGATATACACAAACATGTCCACGTCAGCTGGCGTGAGAATTCCCTTTGTTTTTATTTCTGATGTAATTTTATACTTCGCAGGACCTCAGGTTAGGAATGCGCTGATTGCATCGAACCTAACCCAGACTCAGCTCGCTACCATCTGGTGAGTATAAGGTGTGTGTGTGTGTAAGTGTGTGCATATCCATGTATGATCCAGCAGGTAGCCACATCTATTTGTCTCTGTGACAACTTTTTGTCGTATGGATTGTCTATACTGGGGAAGCATGATATTGGAGTTTTTACCGATATCCGATATGCTGGTATGTAACAACTCATTTAACCGATAACGATATTTATATAGGGCAGCACGGTGGTGCAGTGCTTAGCATTGTCGCCTCACAGTAAGAGGGTTCCTGGTTTGAACCCAGGGTGGGGGAGCCCTTCTGTTTGGAGGTTGCATGTTCTCCCTGTGTCAGCGTGGGTTTTCTCAGGGTACTCCAGCTTCCTCCCACAGTCCAAAGACATGCAGGTTAATTGGTGACTCTAAATTGTCCGTAGGTGTGAGTGTGAATGGTTGTCTGTCTCTATGTTTCAGCCCTGTGATAGTCTGGTGACCTGTCCAGGGTTCATTGTGGAAAGCATGTTGGCCGATTCTGACAGTTCATTTTAAAGCCAATGTCAGCCGATACCAATGACATGCGGATATTATCGTGCAATCCCAGTCTATGCTGTAATTTCATGATGCTGGTCTGGTCTGTGCACATGCTTGTTTGTCCATTTTGGGAGAAGGATCCCTCCTCAGTTGCTCTTCCTAAGGTTTTCTCCATTTTCTCCCTGTTAAAGGGAATTTTTTGGGAGTTTTTCCTAATTCGTTGTGAGGGTCCAAGGACGGAGGGTGTCATATGCTGTGGAGCCCTCTGAGGCAAAATGTGATTTGTGATATTGGGCTTTATGACTAAAAATGAATTGAATCTCAGGCTGTGTGCCTCTTAAGTTGATGAAACAGTCTATTGATCACCAGACAGGCAGAACATGTAGATGGATGATGCCATTAAAACACAACTACTCTGGTATTTTTACTTCACTTTATGTGGATATTATTGAAATGATTTACTGCACAAAACTTTTTGATGAATGTGATTTAAAGGTCCAGTGTGTAGGATTAAGGGAATTTACTGACAGACATGGAATATAGTATTGAAAGCTATGTTTTCATTAGTTTATAACCACCAGACACTAAAGCCCAGTTCAGACCAAAGATTTGCGATGAGACGAGTTGAAACAATGCAATGTTCAGAAAGAGGCCTGACTGATGATGTCATGTTATTGGAGGACATGTTCAAATGTCACAAAGTCTTCAAAAAAGGAAGAAAGTTCCAGTTTAAGTCTGGTATTTTATAATAAACAATTCAACGGATCATTTGTGGCTAACAGTTTTCACTAAGATGATGCTGATTTGGCATAAAGTCCAAAAAATTAAAGCAGCTTTGCAAGTATCAAGCTACTGTTGCCATTTTCTCGTAGCTTAGCTTACTTAATTTCTCTGGGGATAGCGCCAATGTAGTGAGGCTTTATTTAATGTAGAGTAACTGGTAGCTTAGCTCACTGCATTCTCCAAGTAGCTTGCCCAGCACTGCAATCTGCAAACTCACTGCCAGAGGCTACTAAATCCTAAACACTAGACCTTAAAGTTAGGGTGAGATAAGAGGTGTGAGATAGTATGGGGCACAGCCAGTTAAGGAGTTTAGGAATTGCTTCTGAAATAGGAAGATAGGATTCTTCTAGACAAGCAGTTAGGATATTTTTTCGGTAATGAGAGCCCTGTTTGCCAGCTTTTTACCCAGAACAACTTTATGAGGTGATAATTTGTTTACAGCTTGTCCTGTTGCCTCTAAAGAAAACAATTATGCTGCTTTAAAATCGTGATAGTCTCAACAAAAAGGTAACAGATTTCCTCTTTATTGCTTTACAATGTGAGTTACTGTGTTGTGTGTGAATAGGACGTTGGCGGATGTGGATAAGGACGGTCAGCTACAAGCTGATGAATTCATTCTGGCCATGCACCTGGTGGACATGGCTAAAACTGGCCGACCTCTTCCCCTCACACTGCCTCAAGATCTGGTGCCTCCCTCTCTCAGGTAACACAGACAGATTGACTCGGTGGGTTCATCAATATATTCATGATTACAACTGCAGAGATTCTTCTTTTTTCATTTCAGAGGAGGAACCAAGCCCAGTGAGCTTGTTAATGGAACAGGCCCCTACACAACTCCCTGTTTATTGGACACACCAGAGACAGAACCTGCACAGAAGCCAAAGAGCAGTGGTACGACTTGTCCTGTATCTATGTTTTATAAATGTGTAAGCCTTTGGTCTTCCACTGTGCCATATCGTCTCCTCCTCTTCCTCTTAGTCTCCTTCGAGGACAAGCTGAAGGAGAACTTTGCGCGAGGCAGTGCTGAGCTGGAGAAACGTCGACTGGCTCTGGAGGAAGAGCAAAGAAAGGAGAGGGAAAGGAGAGAAAGGGAGGAGAGAGAGGCTCATGAGAGGAGGGAGAGGGAGGCGAGGGAGCAGGAGAACCGGAGGAGGCTGGAGGAGGAGAGACGGCTGGAGAGGCAGAGGGAGATGGAGAGACAGAGGGAGGAGGAGAGGCTGAGAGAGCTGGAAAGGAAGGAGGTAAGTGGGAGAAGTGGCCTCACACGTGAGATGCCGAACGTCCAGATTGGCATGTCCGGTGACCAAGTTCTTTTGTACTTTCAGGCGGCGAAGCAGGAGATGGAGCGCCAGCGGAGGGAGGAGTGGGAGCGTGGGAAGAGAGAGGAGCTTGGCAGGAGGAGAGAGGGGGAGCAGGAAGAGATTTCCAGACTCAGGGCCAAAAAGAAGAGTCTAGAGTTGGAGCTAGAGGCTGTGGTGAGACTGTACCAACATTCAAATGTGCATTTAAAGGTTCTGTATGCAACTTTATACATGTAATCCTCATATGGCCTGTGGATTGACGTCTATGTAAAGGACCTGGGCTAAACTTTGCAGGAAAATCCAAAGGGTGTGCCTTGATGTATGTACCCTAGTAGAGGGGTTCCCAACTGGTGGGTCATGGGTCCATTCTGAACAGACCAAGTGACTCGCAAACGTGTTGAAATAAAAAAAAAAAAAAAAAACGCGAATTTCCTGCACACGCTTTTATTTTATTTTGTTGTAGAGTAGGTGAATAACAGACATCTACTAAACAGAGACAACAAACTAGCTTGACGACATGGCCAAACGCAAGTGTGACGCTGAATTAAACTTTGTGGATCTTGAACTAATGACTAAGGACCAATCTGGACCAGTTGGGAACCACTGCCCTAGAGCCTTGCCCCTCTTCAGCTCCACTGCAGTGCTAACAGTGTGCAAAACCAGCTAACATTAGCTAAGATGTACACACACAAGACAAACCTTCACTTAGCGCCCTGTAGCAACTTAAATTCAGCCAGAACAAGACTCAGCACCCAAGCCCTGAGGAATTGCTTCTAGACTGCCCTCTCGATCACCCCAAGTCTCTGTCGGATCAGTAAACTTTATTTTGCTGTGAACCCTGGAGCTGGGGTTGCTACAGCAGCTAAGGTCCGTGCTGCCATCCACTCTCCTCACGGGAAAGTCGTGTGCTAGTGGCGAGGAATGAGGAGGAGGGTCCGCAGGCTGTGCTAGCTAGCTAATTCTTGTCTCATTTGTTGTCTGATAAACAGTAAATCCATCAGATTCAGTGCACCATATCATAATTTCAGTTCCCCTGGTGCTGAAAAGAAATCCTAACATTACACGAAGCACGGACATGCAATATATTGCGGTATTAGGTTTAAACTGACTTATGTTAGCGAACGTTAGCTTGCCTGTTAACACAGAAGAATTGCTAGCAAGCTAACATAGCAAAATGCTGTCTTGAGTGATTAGCATGTTTTAATTCACCCAGACTCCAGGGCCTGGTCTAGCAGGTAAATTCGTTAGCTTGCTATTTAAAAATTACTTTATCGCCTAATGTTAAAAAGCAGCTAACTCCAGATTAATACAACATAGCTTAGTTACAACTAGCTTGCTACCTTAACTTGCTTGCTCGCTAAAGTTATTGCAAACAAAATACTATCTGAGTGGATATGCTAGTTGGCTAGCTTGCCAAATTATTTCACCACCTAACGTGATGCTAACGTGACACTAAATTATGTAACCTTACAAATGGCTTTTTACTAAACTAAAATTGAGCTAACCGTAACCTGAGTTAAAGTTGGCTGTCTAGGTTGCTTCACAATGTCAGTTGATACTGGAATTTGCGGTAAGCTGTTTAGTATCATGGAGTCATTGGTCCAAATGAATATAGGAACACACACCTACAGAGTGTGCGCACCGGAGCAGGAGAACAGTATGCTGACTACAGTTCACTTAACAGCCTCAGAGAGAGATGTTACTAAACTCTTGCAAGAAAAACCATGTGCACATACTGATATCAATTACCCGGTCTCACAGGGCAACAAGCACAAGCAGATCTCAGACCGTCTCCGTGACGCTCAGAGCAAGAGGCGGATCCTGAAGGCTGAGGTGGACCTTGTCAATCAGAAGAGGGACTCGCGCATCGTAGAGATCAACACACTGCAGCTTCAGTTTGAGGTTAAAGAAAAACTTTTGTTTTCAGTCCCTCCCTGTCAAACATTTAAATTACGCTCATGAATGTATTTTTGTAATTTTCTGTTTGTGTGTTTATGACTGTGTGTTTGCAATAGGACTGGCAGAGGAAGCTGTCACAGCTGGTCCCTGAGCAACAGAGACTGACAGAGAAGCTGCGAAACATCAACCTAAACAAAATCCCCTGTGGGTTACAAACGCCTTCTGCTTACACAAACACACAGACATCATATCAGTCACTGAATTCTCTCACTTGCATCTGACCTTTAAACTTTTGCCTCGTAGCCGTGACTTTGACCTCTCTGACTGGGAGCGTGACAGAGAAAGGGGTGAACTGTCGGAGGCTGAAGGACCAGCTTGACACTCTGGAGAGAGAGACCACAGACAAACTGGCCCAGATGGAGCAGTACAACAAGGAGCTTAAGGTCAGTGGTCAGCACAGACTGATTCGGGAGACGGAGGATGGTAGTGACATTTTTAGCCCGTCTCAGAGGAGTTTAGACTATTTGAATCCAACACAACCTAAATTAGCCCAGGAAGAGTCGGGTCAGGCCACTGCAGAGTAGCTCAGACCACAGATTGTAGAAAAACTTTGATGTCAACCAAAGATTTTAGTTTGGAGAAAGCTTAGTTCACCACTCTCCAATGTCTTGGTTAGTTGTCAAGTCAAGAAATATTGTGAAGTAGGTTTGAGCAACCGTCCACTGTCAGCCCAGCAACCAGGAATTGCCAGTATATTTGCGCAGTTGTGTGTGCGGCTGGGAGATGTGTTCAAGCCACACACAACTGCTGTTCAAGCAGTGTGTTCGCTACGTTCCACAAGCTCTCTTAGCTTCTTTTCTTCTAATGAATAAACAAAATAAACTCACAAAGGAAATATTCGTACACCTGTTCTTCTAATCAAACAGAAAAATACAACTGTACACCTTCTGAAATTAAGTTTCTCTCTTTCACCTAACTAAGACTAACTTAATTACCATAACACATTGATTCAAACTCAACAGAAACAAAGTAAAACTCACCAAAACTGTCTTTGTTGGTCACTGATCCAACAATCATCAACTCTGGTTTGGTAAAAACAAACAATGCACAAGGTTAGATGTGGAACATATGCTGATCTATGCACTCTCTCTCGCTCTCGCCTTGTGCCAGCTGCCCACTGAACAGCGACTCCCACATGCTCTTAAGAGGCAGATAATTTAAGTAAAATAAAATTACAAAAGTCGACTTTCAAAAAAACATCCAGCAATGTACTCAGCCAATCGCCCATAGACAATATATTCATCTGATTGCCCAACCCTGTTGTGAAGTACCTCAGTGGAGTTGTGGTAAATTAAGATGCCTGTCAGTCGAGCAGACTGAGCAGACACGCACATATATATAAATATATGTATATTTAAATTGCAATCAAAAAATAGTTTGACGTTTCGGGAACTAGAAGCCCCTTTCCCACTGGACAAAAAAACCCCACCAACACCCACTAACGTCCAGCTTTTTTCTTTTAGTGGGAAAGGTCACAATTGGCATTCATGCTCGAGACAAATGACTCTGCAGTCACAAGTATTTATTGGCTCTCGCTCAGATCAGCAGTGATGGAAACATGACACTTGGGTGGACTGGCTAATGTTCGCCACTTTACTGGTGACTCTTCGTCATCTCAGCCATAAATTCCATTTGGTTCCATCCAAGCAACGCGTGAACATCGCTCCAAATTGGTCTGCACTAGGCCCGTTTCCACTGAAGAAGTTCCTGGTACTATTTGGGGGGCAGGAACTACTACAGGAACGTCCTCTCGCTCAGCCCTCTGAACCGCCGTGTCTCCACTGAGAGAGCGGAGTAGGAGGAAGGTTCCTGTAAAGTTACCGGGCACTGTATGTGACGTAATCGTTGAGCGACCATTTTGACAGGGGCGACGTAGGGGCGTAGGGAAGCCGTTAGCAGTGTCTGTAATAATTCCGGCCACAGTCCGTGAAAAAAATATTTTTTTCCAGCGGATGTTTAGTTACAACATGATTGAGCTAACTGGAGTAGTTTCATGTCGTATCTGACAACGGGAGACTTTTAACAGATGACGTCCTGATGTTAGCTTTGCTGCTGCTGTTAGCTGTCCCTGTCAGCTGATGCTTTCTAGACATAGTGATTTCCCAAAACTGAATAAATACCACACATAGCAACACAAAACTGCTTTGCTAGCTCAATCATGTTGTAACTAAGATATCCGCTGGAAAAAATATTTTTTTCACGGACCATGACCGGAGTTACTACAGACACTGCTAACAGCTAATGGTTAGCCCAGCTAATCTACGATAACCATGTTGTTGTTTACAAAATGTCACATCCCGCCTTGAGTATATCCAGTCAGCACCAAGTAATCCCCAAGCCCCAGCCAGGAGTTTCTCGGGGCCGTTCTGAGTACCTACTCCGAGGCAGGGACTTGTTTAGCCCCTGTAAAAGTTCCAGAACTCTGTCCTTCGGGGGTGGTTCCTGCGGTAGAGACACGCACCAACGGCCCCGGCCCCGTAAAATTACCCCGAAGTTCCTGCGGTGGAAACGGGCCTACTGAGTTTGAAAGAGAGACTGAATAAATGAAAATGAAGTAACAACCATCACATTTCCACTGGCCTCCATGCTGCTTTCTACTGTTTACTAACCTGTTTTTGGCGCATTTGTGACGTCATACGTGGCACACCTGGAAACAAACAAAACAGAAAGGTATACTTGCCTACTGGCAATAGGAATGGAGTCTGTCAACTATCTTTAGTGGGTTTAAAAAACATTTAAAAACCCACACGCTAATTTTGGTGGGAAAAAGGTGTCAGATGTGAAGATTGATACCACTAATCTGTGCGTTGAGTAGGATAAAGCTGAGAGCTAATTAACTTAGCACAGTCATGTCTTTTCATTTCTGTTTGTGCACTGACTAAAGAAGATGTGTTGTTAATTAGCAAACTTCAGATGTGCTAGTAGGTTTATTTTTTAACTTCTGGAGAGAGCCAGGCTGGCTGTTTCCTTCTGTTTCCCTTCTTTATGCTGGCTAAGCTAATCAGCTGGCTCGTTCCAAAATTAATGCACAGGCTCTAAAGTGGTAATTTTCTTATCTAACTCTCTGCAAGAAAACAATAAGTGCATATTCTAAACCTATTCCTTTGAAATATGGCTCTTGAGGCCCTAACTTTATTTGGGAATCATGTATCGACTCACATTTCAGCACAGACGTTTCAGAATAATACAACAAAATGAAGCAACATGACTACATGATGGATTACACCAGTATTTGTTTTCTTTCCCTCAGCAGTGGATTATTGGAATAAAACAAAAAAGGGAGTTTCACACTTAAAACGCTGCCGTGAAATCTTGTTCGGCTGGTCATGGTAACTCTAGAGTTTCACCCCTCAGGCAGAGAGATCCTCGTTACCTAACTGTTATTGCTCACGTACAGACTCAGATGTACACACTCGCTGGCAGAGAGCCTGAGAATTCGATGCCTGTGATGAATGATGTCATGCAGTCTCACAGTATATCGTCAATGTGATGCTAATAGTTGCAGCATCAAAACGCCTGCTCTTTCTCTCTTGGTGTGTTTGATGCCTCTCTTCTCTTAACTGCTTTTTAAAGCTTTTAACTTCTTTCTCTTCTCCCTCTTTTCCTCTGCTTCCCTCCACTTGGACTTCTTTCTTATTAATTCACATTTATTTTGTTTCTGTCTGATGCTTCTTTTCTTTCATCCACAATGCAATTCACCTGTTCTCGTTTTATCTTGACCACACTTGTCCTACCTTCTGTCCATCTCGTTCTCCGCCCTCCTCCATCCTCCCTCTCCCTCCCTCCGTCATCACACTGTGTTTCTCTCATAGCTTGGGGATATGGATGACTGTGTCCTGCGGGGCCTTCTGTCTCTGCTGGCCTGCCTCAGTCAGCTCTTCCTCCTCATCAAGGTTATCTTTCTTCCTCTCTGTCTCTACCTCCCACTGTGTAATCTTTTCTCCGTCCCTCCTGATTAGGTTTCTTTTTTTTCTCCTCACCTCTTGTCTTCCCCCAAAGCCACAATCTTTAATCTTCCTTTTCATCCCGTGATGATTCGATCTGTTCGCTCATCCTCAGCTGTTTTTTGTCCTTTGACTCATTATTAAATGGAGCTCTGCTTTGGTACCATGTCTTCCTCTTTTTTCTTTTTTTTTGTCGTTTCTCTCCATGGGATTTGTTCTAGACTGTGTTTTTTGTGTAAACAGGATGCACCCTGAGGGTAAAACACACTCACACAGAATGCTTAACCTGCATAAGTTTTGTTTTAGAAAGGAAAAATAATGGGACTCAGCTTATACATATATATATATATATATATATGTACACATATATATATTTACACACACCTGCATGTTTCTGTGAATGGCTGTCAGTTTGTGGACTGTTCTGCATGTTTGCACTACTGCACCAAACAGGTGAAGTTTTTTTTAGAGATGAGTTTTACAACACATCTACTTCTTTCTATAGATTCAGAACAAATGTAATATACACTACTATTATACATACTACAGCAGTGTAGTAGGGACATTGAAGGTTAAAAAAATAGAGAGCTCGGACTGGGAGGTAATTTTTCGTTGAAAACTCAGAATTTCCCAGATTAAAGTTGTACATTTTTTTTGACAAAAGCTCAAAAGTACTCTGAGATTAAAGTCACAAATTCATGAACTGCATCACTTTACTTTAAAGTTGGATCCCCACAGATGCCACCAAGGGCACACTTTATTTTACAGTATGCTAATAAGATGTAATAATCCGTACTTTGTATCAAATTAGACCAGGAATGTTAATTGATTATGTGAGACCTCATTCATATAATATTTGGGTGTGTAAACCCCCCTCTACCTACATCCTACGGTGGCGTAATAGGGAGTGGGGAGTTACGTATATTCCAATAAAACTCCGAGATTAAAGTTGTACATTTTTAGATAAAAACGTAAAAATTCTCCGAGATTACACAGTAATAAATTTGTGAGAAAAAAACAATAGAAAAAATAGCGCTTTTCCCCCTAAGGATCCACATTGCTTCACTTTGCAAGGTTGGATTAACCATATCACTTTATTTTACGATACATTTATAAGACACAAAAAGTCGTACTTTATATAACAAAAGACCAAGAAAGACCAAAGGGAGAGCAGGCAGAGGAAAGTTTGTGAATGACAGAAAGATTTTAATTTACTATTACAATTAGCTTAGCATGTGTCATACCTTACACTCCTCAGTTAACAAATACTTTGCTGCAGTTGAGTCAATTCACGCCATATGCTCGGCTGGTAGGATGTCATGTTGACCATGTTTTGTGTCATTTAAGCTGGACTTATTTGGGGAAGAACTTAGTGCAGCTTTCTTAAAGTGGTCTATAACAGGTTGCCAGATCTGGTATAATTTGTTTTCACACCTTCTTAATGAGAATTTAATCTTTTCCAAATACAAGTAGTGCATCACACCCTTCATGAGGGCAGAATGGGCAGCAGCCCTGTTTGCTTCCAATTTAATAACAGCAATCTACGTGTTAGTAGGGTTACAAATAATATCATACTAAATATAATGTTTATTATATATAGACTAGAAAGACCTGACAGTCAATGCTAAACTGCATCTGAAATCAATCATCAGGTTCCCATCTTTAATATGATGTGAACTCAGTCGGCCTGTCTTTACCAATGCAGCTTTTAATATATGTTTAGGTTTAGCCTAGATATGTGATTTCATCACTGAGTTTTTGTCTTGTAATTTAACAACTTTAATCTCAAAATTCTGGGGTTTTCATCTGGATATAACCTCCCTCCCTCAGCTCTGTTTTTGTTTTCTCTATTCACAATGGCCCTAACACGCTGGCGTAACATCCACCACTTTAGCCACTTTGTGGTTGGAGCAGATTAAAAGCTTGTATATAGCTGTGTTGTGCTCTTTGCCTGGTAATAACACTGTTTCTGCGTTGTTAAACTGTTAAACTGGTCGTTGCTCGTGTCTTTTATATCTCTCTAATGCATCATACGCTCTGTGGCTGCATCAGGAGCTGAGGGAGAAGCAGGTGAGACAGCAGGCTGTCCTGGACGACCTGCACAGAGTCAAAGAGGAGAAACTGAGGGAGCTGCAGAGACGCAGGGAGGAGGAGACAGAGAGGAGGAGGAGGGAGGAGGAAGAGGCCGCCAGGTGAGTGTGAAGGAGCATGTGACTGCAGATCACTCATACTTCACCTGAATCTAATGATTCTAATAAAACACATTTTCTGTCTCGGGCTTTAAAAAATCTGCTTTTACTTCCCACAGACAGGCGAAGCTAGAGCAGGAGAGGAGAGAGAAGGAGAAGCGGGAGGAAGAGGAGGCGCGTCAGAGGAGGCTCCTGGAGGAGCAGAGGGCCAGACAGAGGGAGGAGGAGGAGAGGGAGGCACAGGCTCGCCTCCGAGCAGCCCAGGAGAAAGCACAGGAAGAGGAGAGAAGAAGGAGAGAGGAGGAAGAGGAGGAGAAGAGGAAGAGGGAGGAGGAGGAAGAAAGAAAACGGAAAGAGGAGGAGGAGGAGAGGAGGAAGAAAGAGGAGCAGGAGAGAGGAGGACAGAAGCAGCCGGTGTTGGTGGCTCAGAAGTCCTCGAAGCTGACCACGTACAGAGCTCTGTACTCGTTCGTCGCCCGAAATGCAGACGAGCTGAGTATCGACGCAGACGGCCTCATAGAGGTACGACACACACTCAAACACACACACACTGTGAAGACACACTACATGTTTGACTCACACATTTAATATTAGATTCCTAAAAATATTTAGGCATTTTATTTTCCAAGTATTCCAAAAGCCATGTTTCTGATAACTCCCATTCCTTTTTTCAGGGTTTGAATGGGTCCTTGAACCCTTGAAAGTTTGTGAATTTGAGGGACAAAAATCATGGTCTTGAAAGTTTCTGAAAATAGTAGAAATAGACATGGGTCATTGAAAGTGCTTGAATTTGTATATTTTGTGCAACAATAGAAACTGTGTTGTGACAGTAATCAACCTTCATCCATGTCTCCAACTAGGCTGTGTTTGGTCCTTGAATTTGAGGGAAGTGGGCCTTGAAAGTCCTTGAAAAGTCACTGAAATTTTTTAACGGTTATTTAATTTAACTTTGTTGGTTTTTAAGGAAATTTAGCTTTCGTATCAGTACCCAACCTCTTTATAAGTGGGTAGTTTGAATTCATTTAGAGCTACAGTTTCTGTCAGGTGTAAAGTTTGTTTACTGTGAACCACATCTCAGCTGTCATTAACATCACCACACAGCTACAACTTTTTACATGTAAGTGTAAGAAAAAAACTATCACTAATTAACAAGCGTTTGATAAAACATTTACACATTGTTTATGATTATGTAAAGGAGTACCTGCTTTTCAATTCAATTCAATTCAATGAACTTTCTTTATCCCGAAGGAAATTCTTATGCTAGAGAATGCTTCAATTTACAGTAACACACATTAAAATAACAACGATTAACATTCACTTTCACTTTTATTATCACATCAGCCTGCTTTAGAGATGAAGAGATTAAAAAAACAGTTTATTTTTGCATAATTTGTTACATATTGCCATGACAAAAATGCATATACTCCTCAAATTATACATTTTGTTTATGTGCAGTTTCTTAATCAATGTGATGGCCTGAACTGTGTCAACATACCATCATAAATATTTTAAATAAAAGTACTTTTCTATTAAAAAGGTGTCCATGTGACATTTCTGCATGACAATCTTTGTATGTAAAAGCCTCTAGATTATAGTTTTACAATAAAGACTCGTACTCGTACTCGTACTCGTCGTCCTCCGCTTATCTGGGTCCGGGTCGCGGGGGCAGCAGCCTCAGCAAAGAAGCCCAGACAGTCCTCTCCCCAGCCACTTCTGTCAGCTCTTCCGCGGGAACCCCGAGGCGTTCCCAGGCCAGACAGGCGATGTAATCCCTCCAGCGTGTCCTGGGGCAGCCCCGAGGTCTCCGCCCGGTTGGACATGCCCGAAACAGCTCCCAAGGGAGGCGTCCTTACCAGATGCCCAAACCACCTCAACTTGCTCCTCTCGATGTGGAGGAGCAGTGGCTCTACTCTGAGCCCCTCCCGGATGTCTGAGCTCCTCACCCTATCTCTAAGGCTGAGCCCAGCCACCCTGCGGAGGAAACTCATTTTGGCCGCTTGTACTCGCGATCTCATTCTTTCGGTCACTACCCAGAGCTCGTGACCATAGGTGAGGGTTGGAACGTAGATCTACCGGTAAATCGAGAGCTTCGCTTTCTGGCTACGCTCCCTCTTCACCACAATGGACCGGTTAAGCCCCTGCATCACTGCTGACGCCGCCCCAATCTGCCTGTCAATCTCCCGCTCCATCCTACCCTCACTCGTGAGCAAGATCCCGAGATACTTAAACTCCTCCACCTGAGGCAGGACCTCCCCCCCGATCTGGAGAGGGCAATCCACCCTTTTCCGGCTGAGGACCATGGCCTCAGACTTGGAGGTGCTGATTCTCATCCCAGCCGCTTCACACCCGGCTGCGAACCATCCCAGCAAGAGCCGGAGGTCACTGTTCGATGGGGCTAGGAGGACCACCTCATCCACAAAAAGCAGAGATGAGATCCTCCTGTCACCAAACCTGACACCCTCCACCACTCGGCTGCGCCTAGAAATTCTGTCCATGAAAGTTATAAACAGAACCGGTGACAAAGGGCAGCCCTGGCGGAGTCCAACCCTCACCGGGAACAGGTCCAACTTACTGCCGGCCACGCGAACCAGACATATTTTGATATTTAAATTGCTTCAAGGTGTAGGGCAGATGTCAGGATACCAAATCCAAGCTGTAGGTGAAGAATTACATGAGATTAAGTAGGTACCCCCATCATTTTCGCTATGTGTTTTATTCTGCATTTTTCACAGATGGGGTGAGTTAATAATTTCATCCCTTTTTGCTGTATGAAATATCTTTTATGATCACCCATTTCATGAACTGGATACATGTCAAAATTATGAAAAAAAATTGGTTGTTTTTTGTTCTACAGCGGGTTGGGCTGTCCCGAAAACTAAAGATAAGATAATACTTTATTGTACACTTCAGTGTTCATACTGTGCCTGTACTAAATGTGACCTCCATATTTGAAATCAAAATTACACCCCTGACTGTAATATTTGTTAGTTTGTAATATAATATTTAATGACTATGGGCTGGCAGCAGATGTAGGACAGAAATAAATTGTGTCTAGTTAAAACAAGGAGTTGTCAGATCTACTCAAGTGAAACTGACAGTGAAGCAGTCTGTGTGTGATGGATGTCTGAACGCAACGCACTAACTGTGTGTGACTGCTGTGTAACAATAATTGTTCCTGATTGGTCCAAAAGAGGCCTGCAGTTGGGAAACAACATGTTTATCACCGTCACCTTGTTACGTTTGATTGTGTTTGACTGAGCTGTGTTTTCCATGATGCAGGTGGATGAGCAGACTGTCGGTGAGCCCGGCTGGCTGTGCGGGAGTTACCGTGGAAACAAGGGCTGGTTCCCCCAGAGTTATGCAGAGAAATGTCCTAAACCCTCTACTTCTGAGACCGGCCCGTCTTCACCTGGAAAGACGTCCTGTGCGCTGCCACCGCCGCTAAACACAGGGTAACACAGAGAAAGAAACATATGAGACACTTTCTGTGATGTTTCAGTTCCCCGACACTAAACATAGGATGGTTTGTGTCTGTAACCGTCACTGTGGGCTTTGTAATGTACGCCACAGCACTGTTGGGTTGTTTTTATTCTTGTGTTGTCTCCTTCCCTAATGGTTTGTCCCTCCTGTTTTACCCAGAGTCCCAGATGGGGAGGTAGCATGTGACAGCACCGCTCCTGCCCAATCAGACGCTTCACAGGTAACGTCCAACCTATATTTACTTTTCACTCCCGGCACGCAGTAAATTGGGTTAGTTACTTAGTTCACTTAAAAGGAAACTCACTCCTAATGGACAGATGAACTTCTCGGGGACTTGCTCCAGATGCAAATTGAAACTCTTTTTTTGTTGCTGTGTCTGCTCAGGATTTATTTACTGGAGAGAATAACCATGTTTAACAGGAGCAACATGGGAGTTTCTTATCCTTTCATTATTTACTCTCTGTTGTCAGGCATCACAAGGACAAAAAGTTCCCATAATCTATTTTCTAAAGGTTTCTAAAGCACTTGTCATGAGCTTTTGGATTATCTCAGGCCTCCCTGCTCTGACAGTTTATTAAGATTAAAGCAGCTTTAATTCATATTTTTACATTAACGATAGATCAAATGACTGTGCATTGTGAAAGGAGACACTTGTAATGACAAACCCACAGAGAATCATCATCCAATCCTGCAGTTCCCCTCAGCTATACGGAGCGTTTTCATCTTCTTTCAGCTCATTAGATTAGGTATATTACCAAACAGGCTTACAGGGCCCTGGCCCAGGGGCCCAAGAGCTCAGAGGGGGCCCTGAGTCAGAGCCTCTGCGTGATGTCGCTGTTATTTACTTTTCATTTCTTGTCCCAGGGCTTAGTCATCATGTCAACAACTGAGCCCCAAAAGTCCTAAAAAAAGAAAAAGTGAAGGAATAGTCTAAACATTCACTTTGAAGATGTCACAAGAAAGAAAGCATCATGAATAATTAAAGTGAGTGTTTCTATCCCCGCAGTTTATCCACAGGAATTTAGATGTGCTGCGTACTCTGTGCAATTTGCCCTTCAGTTTTGTGAGGAGAAACAACAACATGTTGTACCTGAACTAAGGGGGACAGCATTTACACGCATTTACCTGTGCTCATTAGCTGCGGTTACACAGATAATATTTCTTGAATCTGATTGAAATCCCCATTGATTAAAGATTCTAACGTCACTGTCGACATCAACACTAAATAAAGTGTTAAAAAAGATGTGTGTTTACATGCCCCAAAGCATTTAATCAGCATGTAACTTTATCGACTTGTGCAAAGTGATTCTGCCCACTGTGAAGCTGAAAGATTTGTTTTTATTAACAGATGCTCTAACTACAGTGCAGGAGGTTTCCATTTGTGCATTTGAAATGATGCTTTTAAAAAGAGAAAGTAAAGGACAGAGATAACCAAAAACATAAGAAAAGAGGCAAAAACCAAAACCAAAAACACACACACCCACAAAAATATATTCCTTAAATATATACAGAGAGGATGTACTAAAACTAAATATTAGGACATTTTGACGTACAAACATATATTAGTAAATTCATGAATGGATCAGAAATGAGCAAAGTTGAAGTAAAGCATGAAGGAGATTATTGGACCAAAAACCATAACTCTGAATGAATGCTAATGTTTCTCTGCTGGATGTGTAAATAAGCAAATGTTTGCTAATGTGTTGCCATAATACAACAACAATAATAATAATAATAAACTTTATTTATATAGCACCTTTCATCACACAGTCACGAAGTGCTGTACAATAAAACAGATGGAGAGTAAAACCAATTAAAATGTCACCACAGTAAAAGATGAAATACAATGAGACCAAAACTGAAATCAAGATAATGAATAAGAATTAAAATCAATAAAATAGAGAGACAGCTCAGATAAAATCAGAATATGCTCTCTGACTGAAGTATTTTTAAAGAGATGCAAAACGACTACAAGGACATGCAAAACAGCTGCAAAGAGACACAAAGAGACTCACAATGATGACAAACGGGAGTGAAACAAACACAAAGGGACACAAAATAGCTACAAAGAGACCGAAATGATCACTAAGAAGCATAAAACAACTTCAGCGACGCACTAAATTACTGCAAAAAAATGCGAAACAACAACAAAAAGAGGCTCAACAACCATAAAGCTTGTGTCTTGCTCCTGTGTAGTAGAGCAAGTGGGGCCTTCTGCATGTCTGTACCCGGGGGTCCACTGTCTCATGATACGCCCATGCACACACCCAGACTCCCTGACGAAACAGTAAACTTTCTGTTGCTGCTGTAACATAGTTTAGACCCAGTGCTGCTGCTGCCCACCAGCTAAATGCTTTAAGTTCACCTTTATGTTGGTGTTAGCTAAAACCTTAAATCACAGTGTGTCGTCCACCTCATTCCACACCACTACAGACCACCTCTTTGGGAAAAGAGCAGGCTGCACCTCAGGGGGGACTGAACAGCCCCGACTCCATGCCAGACCAAAAAAACTTTCTGTTGCTGCTGTTACATAGTTCAGACCAGGTGCTGCTGCAGCTCACCAACTAAAGGCTCACGACTGCGGCTTCAAGTTTATGTAGTTAATGATAGCTAGAACCTCAAATCACAGTGTGTCGTCCACCTCACTCCACGCCACTACAGGCAGCCTTTTTGGATCAGCAAACTTTCTGTTGCTGCCTTTACACAGGTTAGACCAGGTTACCAGCCTGCTGTGACAACAGACGCTGGGGTGGTTTTTAGCTGGCTGAATTCAAGCCACTACAGCTGCCGACTGAAGGTCCGTCTCCCAGGCTGCTGCCTCCTATTGTTAGCGTTATTTTACCAGAATATCAGAAACTTTTCTGTAGCGAGAATCTGTTGAAAATCTGTAAAGGTTAACACGGGCTTTATCAGTTTTCAATATCATTAGATAAGCATGTTTCTTGTACTCTAGTAGTTTTTAAGAGAGACTTAAACAAAGACTCAAGACAGCCGTATGTCCTCGGGCAGGTCGTTCCAGAGTCTTGGGGCCCTGATTTCTAAAGCTCTGACACTTTTAGTCTTCAGTCTGGATTCTGGAACAAACAAAAGAAATGTGCCCGAGGATCTCAAACCACACAGATGTTCATAAGAGATTAAAAGGTCAGAAATGTAATCTGGAACGAGGCCATGAAGTGACTTAAAAGTAATCAGTAAGCTTTTAAAATCAATCCTAAAATAAACAGAGAGTCTGTGATTGTGCTTCGTGGTTCTGGTTAATATCAATTATATGTCAGTGTTGTGTTCACAGCGTGTTGCTCTGCCCCCAGGTAGAACAACAAGCTCATTAATGCAGGTTTAAATATACCCTGCTCGGCTTCTTTTTGGTGTCGTCGGTGTCTGCCTTCATAGTATATCTGAGCTATAAACAGGCTTTGGCGGGGAACTAACTAGGTCTGGCTGGAGTACACGGTCGGCTGCTGACACCAACACAAACACACACATTCACACACACACACACACACACACACACACACACACACACACACACACATCCTCCACAGCAGCATGGATTTGTATTTATAGCTTTTCCCTACTGAGAGTTCTTCTCTCTCTCTCTGGTTTTCTGTGGGTCACACAGACATTTACAGATCTCCATCTCCCAGTGGGTAACATCAGTGTTAGTGGGTCTCATGGTCAGAAAGTGTTAACTCGCTCTGTATCTAGATGAGTCGCCCAGAGGCTGGTTTTATCTTTGATTTCAGAGATGATTTGCTCGAAAGTGAAACCCCACTGCTCTTGTTATCTTATCTCACCCTTCAGTCCTCCGTCCCCCTGCTGGCTCGAGCCGTCTCCTCGTGGTCAGCCACCTCGGAAACTCACCTCAACCTCTCCTCCGGCGCGGGCGACGTCATCACCGCGCTGCTGAGCTTCTCACAGGGTGACATCATCAGCGTGCTGCAGCAGAGAGACGACTGGTGGTTGGGGCAGCTCAATGGGACGCAGGGATGGTTCCCAAAAAGCTACGTCACTTTGGAGACGGGTGGAAACACAGAGTATGAAGACACATAGACGCACACAGACACTTTTCTGTTAGCTGACCATGACACTAAATTAACCACGTGTTGTTCCCATTCTAGGGTGGATGCGTTCGACACGACAGACTCTGTTCAGCTTGAGGGTAGGTAAAGTTTATCTGCACAATAAAAGCGAGCCAACTGTCGCACATGTGGCTCTGACTCACTCTACTGTGTTTTATCCCAACCAGAGTATGTGGCCTTGTACACATACGAGAGCCCGGAGGCGGGGGACTTGACGTTTGTTGAGGGAGATGTTGTCATGGTGACAGAGAGGGAAGGAGAGTGGTGGCGAGGGTGCATCGGGGATCAGACCGGGGTTTTCCCCTCCAATTATGTCCGACCTGTTGAACCAGAGGTGAGTCAACCTGTAAAGTAAGAAAATATTATTATAACTAAAGTTTTTGCCGTTTCTCACCTAAAATTGGAACGTTTGTGTTTATAATTATATTTTTAGTATAAAGAGTAAAGTTTTTAGTATATTTTTAGTATAATGAGGCAAAGATGAGTCATAGTTTTTGATTTTTTTATTGCTAGTTAGAGAAAATAAGAGCTTTTGGGAACTTGTGACAAGTCTATAAACTGACCCATCATTAGTAGCACACCTAACATTACTTTTTTTCCCATTTTTGTCTTTAATTTTAAATGTAATGTTCTTATTTGTTATCTTCCCCCCTTTTTTAACTCCTATTTTATTCATTTAGGCATCAAAACCTGGAGCTCCGGTCAAAAAGCCAGGTGAGACAGCTGCTCACAAACACTGCACACACACACACAGGCTGTCACAGTCTGCTGATTAACTCCATTATACCTCTGACATTTACCTGATCTATATTCATCCTCAGCTATATCTGTTTGGTCAACAGAGATCGCCCAGGCAGTCACCACCGCTGTTGCCCCGACGATGCATCAGCTGCGTCTGTCTCCTGGGCAACTGATCGTGGTCCTGGCCAAGAACTCCACCGGCTGGTGGCTCGGGGAACTGCAGGTCAGTCATAAGATCTTCAGGGGCCCTACCAAAGCTGAAGTGGTCTTTTTTGTCTTTTTCTGAATAAAAGAATAAAGTAAGAGTGTAAAAACTTGTCAGTGACAAAGTTTTATTTCAGAATTAATTAGGCTCTTGCACCTTGAAGCACTGTATTGGTATGAGTAATCAGTCATAGTGGGGAATATTTGAATCTCCACAGAAATGGTCTTTAATTTCACTGTTTGAAGGATGCTGAGAAAATGTTCAGATGAAATATTTGATAATATGAAGAATGTTTTAATGGCTTGTTAAGATTTTTTGAAGTGGGGTTATATGGGGTACTTATCCATAGTCAGGGGCTTCAGTGCATAGCGGTTGGTAGTTCAGCTATGTAGTGTTGTAGGTGGGGGCAGCAGCAAAACATATTTTATATACACTCACCAGCCACTTTATTAGGTACACCTTGCTAGTATCGTGTTGGACCCCTTTAGCCTTCAGAACTGTCTTAATTCTTCGTGGCATAGATTCATCAGGGTGCTGGAAACATTCCTCAGAGATGGTTGTGTGTGAAAATCCCAGTAGATCATCAGTTTCTGAAATACTCAGACCAGCCCGTTGTCTGGCACCAACAACCATGCTATGTTCAAAGTCACCTTTCCTACCCATTCTCATGCTCGGCTTGAACTTCAGATATCGACTCACTGATCCACCTCACAAGGATCTACAGTAATGACATTGGAATGTCATTCGGACTAGATAAGTGTAGTCAGATGGTGTCAAAGTGAGGGAAGATGATCAGAACCAAGGGGGTCGAACTGCCAGAAGGCAGCACTGCAGATGTTCAGGACAGCTCCAAATACCATGGGGTCCTACAGGCCAATGGGAACCATGAGGAGGCCATAAGGAAGTCGGCCACAGCCAAATACCTACAAAGGCAGGTCCTGAAAAGTCAGCTTAACAGAAAGAACAAGGTCCGAGCCATCAAGAGAATGACCAAACTAAGATTCTGTGGGACTTCTAGATACAGACTGACAAACTGGTGATGGCTAACCAAGCGTACATAATTTTAATGGACAAACAACAGAAGAAGGCAGTGGTGATAGATGTAGCAATACCTTTGGCACTACATTTTCTCAACCCTAGAACGTCTGTATTCCTACGCATAAGCACAATGTGGTACGCCGCAGATCAGCAGTTTGGGTCAGACTTTCAGCTGTATCTTTTGCAGAGGGAGACTGAGCGGACCAAAAGAGAGAGATGCATAGGAGTGCCAAAGTTATCCTAAGTGCTATATTGTAGGCAACTGGACTTGCTTGAGTTTCTTGAAGACGTTTCACCTCTAATCCAAGAGGCTTTTTCAGTCCTGAAGTAAACAACTAAGAACTGAAGAAGCCTCTTGGATGAGAGGTGAAACGTCTTTAAGAAACTCAAGCAAGTCCAGTTGCCTACGATATAGCACTTCAGATTACCTGCGAATCTTCACCAATGTAGTGCCAAAGGAAAGGGCTGTCTGACTGCAAGGTAAAGCAGTGAAAATATTTTCAATATGACATACACTTAAACTGATATTTATATTTTTGGTGGAACTTTTTTTTTTTTTAGGTGGCTAAACTAGGTTTTGCTGCTGCCCCTTGTCCCTAGCAGTACATTGCTTAGCTTCCATAGTAGTACTCCTTCCTGCTTCTCCAAACTGGGACTTGCAGACCGACATCTACTGTATGTAATATACTGACAGTGGATAAGTACCTCATACAACCCCACTACAAAAAATAACGTTACCTTTAATGCCTTAAGACATCCGTAAGAAAATGTGTTGCAACATGACATACTTGGTCAGGTTTGATGTATCACACCTACTGTGCTACCAGCATTTAAAAATTGACACGATCTAAGCGAATTTACCGCTCAAACACAGCTGGAGCTGCAGGTGTCTTTGTATTTGCTGACTTGTCACATCAATGAGGAGCTGGTGAGAGGTGGACAGGAGGTAACGGGGTAATAACAGGGTTGTCTATAGGTCATACATCTACAGCAGCGAGAGGTCAATCCTCACTGTCTACTTTGTGCTGAGGCTGCTGCTGTAGCTCCGGTTAAGCTCCTGGTGAATGGTTTGACACAGTAATGAGACAGCTGAGTCAAATAAGCAGCCAGGGGACGATTCATACAAGACAGTCAGAATCTGAATTCACATTGTTGGAGGATTACGACAGCTTTGTCACATTGTACAGTCCCCTCAGTAAGGAATATGCTGATTTGTATTAAACTTGGTAAAGTAGGATGAGACCTTGAACGGCAATCGTTCAGTCATTCCACAGATGTCACGCTGAGCTTCGGCTTGATTCATGATGGCAGCGAATATAAATTCCCGGTAAAGACCCATCATGATTCAGTATGGTTTGTTTGCGCTGCCGAGACTTTAGAGGTTCAGCTCTCCACCCGACGAAATCGATTCATCAATTCATCTTCTCGATTTAGAATTCAGAACTGAACCAGCAGGAGATTGATTTACTCTCACTGGTTCTTTTCCCCTCCAGGCTCGAGGCAAGAAGCGGCAGAGAGGCTGGTTTCATTCCTCTCACGTCAAGCTCCTCGGCCCCTCCAGCAGCAAGTCCTCTCCCTCCCCTCTGCCAGGTGACGGCTGACACACTTTAAACATAATGATTTATTGGTTCTGTCTTACATAGTCCAGCAGACATACTGATATTTGTAGGCCAAAATTACTTTGACAGCACTGCTGATGAGTTTCTGTGGCTCTGAGTTTGACATTTACGTAGAAATATTCATTAATGTGGTGTAAATATCAAGATCCTATTGAATTACTGTAACTTCCTGTGCCAACATGGAATGAGTTCACACAATGCAGAACACCATAATGTAGTTTCTGTCATTTTGTTGAATTTTATGGTTGAACAGCACTGTTTTTAACCATAAAAATATCCAATAACTGCCTTATGTTTTCCAGTGATGAAACAAAGGAGGGGAGGGGATCAGGGAAAAGGGAGCAAGGGAAATGAGGGGGGCACAGAAATGCAGGATTTATTCCTGTATTGTACCACATCTGTGACTGCAACACTGCCTTAACAACAAACAACATAACAGCAAAGCACTATTTAATAAGATGAGATACGTTAAGATAAGACTTTATTGATCCCACACTGGGGAAATTCACGTTACAGCAGCTCACATAGCACAGATAAAAAAGCAAGTTGAATGGCAAAAGAATACTAATAGAATTAAGATGAAATACAAAAAGACATGCATCAGAATAAGAAAAATATAAAGTAGTAAATTTAGACACAACTATACACTCAATACTATTTACACTATATACACCTTTCAGTTAAATGAGATGTATATATGAATATATGTATGGGCATATTTTGACATCTGCACAAGATAATTGCACATTGGATTTAAAATACATGGTGTGTGGTATTAAAATTTAAAAAAAAAAAAAGTCAGATACCATAGAGAGGCATACTGCAAAGAATATTAATAGCAGACATTTTGCAGTGAGGTTCACATTGGGGAATAAATAAATAAATATTGCACGGAATTCACAGTGTAGATGTACTGTGTTGCACAAGTTAAGGGAAGTGTATAAGTAATGTGGCATAACAGTGCTGCATTAAGCAGCGCTGGTAATTTGACATCTTGCTATGTAAAGATAAAGTGGAGTAAGGGTGTCCTGAGTGCATAATGAAGTCATGCTCCCTCTGCTCTTTGTTGTGATAGATGGTCCAGTCGCATGCATGTAAGTGCATGTGAGTCCCTGTGAGTGTGTCCCACAGGTTAGCTAATCGCCACCACTCTGCACTGCACTCATACAGCAGTTACCACTAACATTGAAACGGTGTTGTGGAAGCCTAGTGCCCACCCTCCAGTTTGCCCCCGGGGTAACAGTGTCAGCGCTGTCAGCACTGTTGCTGTAGTTAGCACTGGTTATTGAGTTAGCACCGTTAGCTGCTATACTTCTTGTCCCTGTAGGGAAATTTGTCTTGGACTCAGGAGCTGCACGTGTATTGCTGCCTTTAAATAGAGCTCGTAAGTTGCATGTTTCCGTTTCTGGTACATGGGACCTTAAACATCGATTTCTCATAATGTATTTCAATGGCTAGATGAAAATTATTTTCTGGTCACGTTTGAATTGTGCCATGAATTTCATATATGTTTGTGAATTTTTAATGTATTTTTTCGTGCAAAGAAGGCTACAATTTAGTGGGAAGAAGACTTCTTCCAAGTTTTAACATCAGGCGGGAATCGAAAGAAAGAACAGTGTTCTTGTTGGTATGGTGACATTCGGGTACGAAACACACTGCTATTGATCTGATGGCTCCGTAGATTGTGGCAGAAGACGCAGCAGCAGCACTCTGAGTTGAGAAGTGGAGGGAAAGTGTGATGATGTGTCGTCACATAGGCGACATGTAGTCTTTCTCATTACGTTGTTTCCACAGCCTTTAACTGAAGAATCATACAATAAACTTTCAAACTCTTAACACGAAAAAATATTATTTAGACCCACACAAAACATTTGTGTAATCCAAGGCATTTAACTGGGACCAGAAAATAATAATTTTCTCTCCATTGGCTCCCATTCATATTTTCCGAGCCTAGAGGTCCCATGGGGGTCTACCAGAAGGGGCGTGACTTACAAGCTCTATAATAGTCCAGAAGAAATTAAAAACATACACCATAATGTGTATAAATGTTTGTACCAAATTCTGATCCATCCAAAAGTTGTCAAGACCTCTAACTTAAAATTACGAATATTAACCTCATGGTGGTACTAGACGAAAAGTCAGGAGGAATCCAAAGTCACCATGATTCATCCTCTGGGCACCATGAATGTCCGTCCAACAGTTGTTGAGATAGTCTGGACCGAGCAACAGACCAACATGCCCTTCCTAGAACCAATTTGCTGGCACAAATTCACTAAACTGAAGGATCTAACTTATCAACATGCTCAAACTCACGTCCTTATAAATCCTCATTTGTGCCTCTGACCCCTCAGTGTGCCAAGTTATCGCAATGTACGACTACACAGCTGCCAATCGGGATGAGCTGAGCTTCTCCAAGGGTCAGCTGATCAACATCCTGGACAAGACCAACCCTGACTGGTGGAAAGGAGAAGCCAACGGGGTCTTGGGCCTGCTGCCCACCAATTACGTCAAGATGACAACAGAATCAGACCCCAGCCAGCAATGTGAGTAAACCTCAAGCTTTTTTCTGCCTTAACTACTTTTCTCAGAGGGACAATATTTCTCTGTCATACCATTTGAGAGAAAATCAATAATTCACACACGTAGTTGGAGTTTTTGTGAGAGTGCTGTTGGGATAAAAATAAGACTGTCGGCATAGATGTAAACTGATATTTATCAGCTGTAGAAACAAACTTCTGTCATGTTGCTGACAATTGTATTAATTGACTTGGCTCACCGCAGGTACAGTAGATTCCTCATCCATGTCAGAGCATGGAGAGACTGACGGTAAGCTTAAAGAGTTGGTTTATATCACTGAGGGATCACCAGTGAACATGAACCTGCTGCACTTAAAAGGCTCAATCCACCACATGTTTTGGGTGTCATACTTATTAAAAAGAGCAGTGTCTCATACAGGGCTGGGCAATATATTGAAACTATATTTGTATCCTTATATAAGATTGGATATCATCTTGGATTTTGGATATCATATATTGTAGATGTTGTGTTTTCCTGGTTTTAAAGGCTGCATTACAGCATTACTGTTCTATTATTTGCCTTTACCCACTGAGTCAGTATCAACATTACTGGTGTTCATCAAAAATCTCATTGTGTAAATATTTTATGAAAGTGCCAATAGTCAACCCTACAATATCATCACATATCAGTATGTAATGGTCAAAAATATTGTGATACTTGATGTTCTCCATATTGCCCAGCCCTTGTCTCACACAATTTGAAATTAACAAGACAAAAAGAAAAGTAAATGTTAAATTGCCTTTTAAGTGTACCTGAAATGACTGCACCAATAATTTGAAATCATTCAAAGGAACAGTTTGACATTTTGGGAACTATGTGTATGTGCCTTCTTGCCAAGAATGTCTGTTAACTAAAGCTAAAGCTAGCAGAGCGTTAGCTTAGCTTAAGACTGCAAACAGGGCGAGAACGTTAGCTTGGCTGTGTCTAAAACTAACATAAAAATCTGCCTAAGATTTATAAATCTCACTAAAAAACATATTTTATCTCATTTACTTTGAGCTTACAAAAATGCACATAATAATGCTAGCAAGATAAGCTAGCTGTTAAGCATGTTAAGCTAGTGAACAGTTAGCTCCTAGTGAACAGTTAGCGAATTTGCGTTTCCAAGGATAGCAAATTCATGTCCCCCATTTTAGTTAATTTTTACTAACTCTTGTACTTATCTTACTTCTATTGTTACCCTGTTAAGCACTTTTTGTTCTTGTTTTTTACTCCTTAAGCACTTTATATCTTGTATATTTTGAATATTTTGACTGATATTTAGTACTCTATTGTTTTAAAAACCTAGGCCCAGTGCATGAATTTAACCCGGGGAACTCACTGATTGTTCTGGTTGTTACTGTTTTGAGAACATTAATTGTTGTTACTGTAATTCAAAGTGTTCTCTGACGCAAGAATTTCGTTTGGGATAAATGAAATTGCATTGAACTGAATTTAATTTAATTGGATTACCCTTACTAATGGCACTCCTCTTGCCTAAACCTAACCAATCCAACCAACTAAGGCAACAAGTGCTAGCCAATAAAAGAGAATAGGACAGGTCATACCTTCACTATCCTAACAAACACAAATGTGTGGTATCAATCATGTTATTTAACTCTTGGCAAGTAAGTGAAAAAGTGTATTTCCCAAAATGTCAAAAATCACTGGGTCACAGAACAAAAGGGAACAACCACTGATTAGTTTCAAATTAAGAGCACATTTTTTTCATTTTAATTGGTTACATTTTTTGGAAGCTTAATTTTCACTGGGAGGTTGATAAGATAGGCAGAGATAATGTTAGGGTTGCCAATCATCCTGTAGCATAAAGAATTGTCCCATAATTGGAAACTAAAAGACGCAATCTGTGTTGAACATGATGGGCTTTGTTCCATACTTTTGAGAATGAATTTAATGCAGATCTATTGGAAATATTACAGGGTAGACTATTAAGAATATTAAAGTGATTTATATGAGATAGACGAAACCTTTCTGCTGTGTCAAGTCTCAGTCTGTCTGTCATGTTACGTGCCACTACTCAAATAGAAAATGGCTTGTTATTGGTTGTGACTCACTCAGAAGTGACAAGACACAGCAACGATGAGCGTAGTTGGTAGACGCTAGAATGTAGGACGTATTATTAGATCTGGATACCGGACCTGCGGAGAGTTTCTGCTCAGCTCATAGACTTAACATTGTGATGATGTCGCAGATTTTTTAAATAGCTCTTCTCAGCTCTAGGAAAGTTTTGTTAATATAAAACCTGATCAGGGAGTTCAAGTATCTCAGGGTCTTGTTCTGAGGGTAGAATGGAGCGTGAGACGGATTGGCAGTTTGGCGTGGCATCTGTAGTGATGCGGGTGTTGTGCAGGACCATCGTGGTGAAGAGGGAGCTGAGCTGGAAGGCGAAGCTTTCGATTTACTGGTCCATCTATGTCCCTTCCTTCACCTGTTGTCATGTCTGGAAGAATGAGGTCGCGGATATAAGCATCTGAAATGAGCTTCCTCCATGGGGTGGCTGGGCTCAGCCTTAGAGATAGGTTGCGGAGCTCAGACATCCAGAGGGAGCTCGGAGTAGAGCCGCTGCTCCTTCGGGTCAAAACGGGTCAGTTGAGGTGGTTCGGGCATCTGATCAGGATGCCTCCTGGGCGCCTGCTGTTAGAGGTGTTCTGGGTATGTCCCACTGGTAGGAGGCCCCGGGGCAGACCCAGAACACATTGGAGGGACTACATGTCTCATCTGGCCTGGGAACACCTTGGGGTCCCCCAGGAGGAGCTGGAAAGTGTTGCTAGGGCGAGAGATGTCTGGGGTGCTTTGCTCAGCCTGTTGCCCCCGCAACCCAGCTTCGGATAAGTGGTTGAAAATGGATGGTTGGATGACAACTGTTTTTTTTTTAATATAACTCATGCATTAATAGGTTTTTAAGGATTACAGTTACACATATTTAAAGGCAGGGCTGCTTTAGTGACAGGTTGTCTGCAAGGCATTACCACAGTTTATGAGTCAGATCCACCTCATTTGGTCACTTCTGGCTCCAAACAGAACAAGATGGTGACGGCCAAAATGCCGAACTCAAGGCTTTAGAACCGGAGACCACAAACCAATGGGTGACATCGTGGTAGCTTCGGCCATTACTTTATACAGTTTATGGTACTAACCCTAACCATGACCTCTTTGCTATCACCCTAATTACCTTCGAGCGCAACGAAACAATCACAACACAGTGGGACGAAGCAAAACACTGCATTCACTGGGTACATTTTAGCATTTATCAGCATAGTCTGCTGGAAAAGAAAATAGAGGAGATGACAGAAATAGACGAAATAGAAAAATAATTACCAATGGCTGGTTGTGTAAATGAAAATGTGTATAAGGCCAACTGCACCGTCTGCCACCAAGTTTTCTCCATTAATCACGGAGGAATTCGTGAGATCAAACAACATTCCATCTCAGGAAGTTGGCAACCCTAGAAAACTTACAATGCACTTGTCCACTCTGCAAACCACTGTGTGTACAGTACGCTGATCACTGCTTTGTTTGGATGGGTTTGATTATACTTTACGTCTTACCCACACACAGTCGGTCTGATGATTAAAAAAAGGAAGGGGCCTATTTTTGCGCAGGAGTTGTGTGTTTGAATTAGTATTCATAGCTTGCGTCCCCCTCCCACAGCAGTCGATCTCTGTTAACAAGAGTGAACACACTGGACGTTTAATTAGGATGAACTTGTTAAAGCTGCAGACACAAAACAAAATGAAACTTTAATTCTAATGAACATGAACTCAAACACACCCGGGTCCACACGAGGCCTGCGCTTCATCACAGAGAGGGGAAAAAAATGGAAGAAATTACCATCATGCTTCAGCTGATATGATTAGTAACAACATTTACATTTCCAGAAATACATTATTAATGCACCTGCATGTAAGAGTCGAGCATTAATATTAAAACTAAATTAATGTCTCTCCGTCTCTCCTTCATCTCACTCACCTCCCCCCTCCCACTCCAATTCATCTCTTTTTTTTTTCCTGTTTCCTCTGTAGGACAGTAACGCTGGCTTTCCTCTCTACTCCTCTTCTTTTTCCTCCTCTTCTTCCTCCTCTTCCTCCCCCGTTCTGTCTGAGCCAATCCGAATTGCCCTGTCGCAACAGGAAGCCCAGCCGCCAGCAAGAACAGCCCAGCTCTGCGCTTTCCACCTCACTCGTTTAGGATTGTGGTGTTCTGTGCTTCTCTGTTTTTGATCCCTCTTTTAATTTATTTTTTTCTATAAGGCATTTATTACTCACCCTTATCTCCCCCTCGCTCTCTCCTCTCCTGTGTTTCCCTTGATGTTTCTTTATTAACTAATTAACCAACCAGGGGAGCGAGGCCGAGGCAGCTAGACGTGTTTTAGAGGATTTTGTCCCTCTGATACAAAGGCATGAAATGTGTAGTTTTGTTAAAGATCAATGGAACTATGGATCATAAGAGTTTGGTTACACAGTATAATGGAAATAATATGTGAATGGCATCCGGCTGTGGTCATTTAGTTTTCTAAATTAAGGCTATGAATCAGCGAGAATTTTTTTAAAAGGGTCACTCATTGCACTAACAACATCAAACCTTGCTAAAACGGACCAATGTGAAGACTCACTGTCGCTTTAATCACCAGTAACCTTGATTGCTGCTTGCTAATGCATTGCTTGTACTAACAGGAATTAATTGTGATTTTATTATTCACTTCTTATGCACTCCTCCATTTAAAAATGCTTCCAAGCGATTAAGGCTGAGACCATAGAAACAGAATGAGAGTAGAGCGGACGTTGAACTGTTTGCCATGGTCATTTGACCACCATTTATTTATGTATTTTTTAAATTTAATTTACAGTAATTAGTAGCTAGTTCCTAAAATGTTGAGGCAGAGGGTGCTTGCTGTAGCTCTGGTTGAGGGTGAGAGGCTGTCAGCACATAGTTTGTTGGGCACAGGGAAACAGAGATCTGTGTGGGTACATGAGACCCTAAAAAAGAGGGTGGATCATGGGGAGTACCACCAGTTGGTCCAGGAGCTTCTCCTCCATGATGGTTGTTTCCAGGCATATTTTAGGATGACTCAGGGGCAGTTTGACAACCTGCTGTCTATAAAAAAAAAGTATAACTCTAGGTATCCAGCAACAGCTACCACCAGTTTCTCCTCCATTGTTTACCAACTGTAAACTTGTTGTCATGACCACCACAGAAGGCCCGCCTCTCAAATTATTCAATTGGACAATGGGAAAAAAGTGGAGATGACGTGGGACGCTTTCCCGCTCTGAGTTGAAATTTTTCAACTCGAAAAGTTCTGAGCACTCAGGCAGAAACACCATGTGTATAGAGTGCAGAAATGCGAGGCGTTTAGCAACGAAAAACCGCAAGCAAAAAGTTCAATTCTCATTAAAAACTATTACAAAAAGCTGCCTCCCATTGCTAAAAAATTTTTGTGTAATCGAGGCCTAACATTAACTTAAAGGTCCAGTGTAGAGGATTTAGGGGATATATTTGCAGACATTGAATATATTGTATTAAGTACGTTTTCTTTAGTGTGTGATCAACTGAAAATAAGAATCGTAATATTTTCGTTACCTTAGAATGAGCTGTTTATATCTACATAGGGAGCAGGACCATGTCTACGGAGTCCACCATGTTTCTACAGCAGCCCAGACCTGACAAACCAAACACTGGCCATAGATAGGGTCAGTAGACTTTTTGCATCGGCCACCGTGGTTAGAAGCACTTTTTAAATTTTTTTTAGGGTTTTTTTTTTTTTAATGTGAAACTGCTTTATTCAGTGTTTTTACAAATTTAAATCACCTGGTCTGTTTGTCTTGGAGAGGAAGAGACCTCTGTGGATAATCTGGCTCCCAGTTAAAACCTCCTGATCATTGAACAATGATGAAATTCTAACCAGGAGAAGTTTTAGCCAGTTGCAATCTGCAATCCTCACCACTAGATGCCACTAAATCTCCCTAAATTTTACACACTGGACCTTTAATTTCCTTGTTAACTTATCGTAAAACATGTTACTCAAACTCGATAGAAACAAAATAAAACTCAACAAAACTGTCTTTATTAGTCTTGTTAGTTATCTATTTTTAAAAGAATCGACGACTCTGGTTTGATTGAGATCTGCACCCTGTTTACCCCCACGGCCTCTCTCACCTTCTCAGCTGTCCACTGACCAGCGGCTCAAACTCTTTCTTTAGTGGCTGCTCAACTTTCAGGTTACGTGTTTCAACAAATATGCAATTAATGGCAACAAAAGAAAGAGGGATATGACAGTTACAGTGATATTTCAAAAGTAATGGATTGCCTATTTAAAAACATTTGCTCATTGGGTCATTACTACAAAACCTTAGTCAGTTTGCAACTTGCTGCAAGTTGGTTTGTATACCAGTGGTTCCCGACTGGTCCAGCCACAGTGTCTGGATTTCTATTTAGTCATTAGTTAAAGGTCCACACAGTTTAATTCAGCATCATACTTGCGTTTGGTCATGTCCTTGAGCTAGTGTGCTGTCTCTGTCAAGTAGCTGTCCGTTAGTCACTCACTCTACAGCAGGAAAAGGGACTTCAAAATAAAAGCCCTGTGCCCGAAATTCACTGTACTTCAAAATAAAGTGTGTTTTTTACAAACTTGACACGATTGCGAGTCACTTGTGGTCCTTTCAGAATGGACCTGCAACCCTATTTTGGACCGTGACCCACCCATTGGGAACCACTCGTTTATACAGACATTAGCCTGCTAACAGTTGCAGTGGCAATGCTACACATAAAAATGGCTGCCACTCTGACCATCCTGCTACGCTGATTTAAATGGGAATGTCCATTCTACTTTCATTCTGTTCTCATGGTTGAGACTCATCCTGTACTGAACTGTGATGTCACCAGCAACAAAAAAAGAGCAGATATTTGCATTTGCATACCAACTTGCAAGAGTAGTTTCCCAGATGACGACACAACACTGCTGACATTTCCGTCCGACCTCTGCCAAGTTTGAACCTCAAAGACTTGAACTACCAACTGAGTCTTCCACTGCTCGTTCCCTCCAGCATTAGCTCCTTTACTCATTCACACCTATGCAATCATTCGGAGTGAGCGCTCCGCCATGACGGTGCTTCATTTTCCTTTCGATCAGTGTCCTTGGTAGCAGTGTTCTTAGCGTTAGCATTGCCTGCTATGTTTCCTTACGTTCATGTACTGCAACTACAACGTGCCTCACTCTTTGTCTGTGCATTAAATGTAAATAAAATATATTATAGAACTGATAATAAAGGGAGATTTTAACATGATGGTGTGTGTAGCGTGTTGCTGTTTGTCCTCACACACTGTACTGACAGCAAAGTGTTTGTGGGTGTTGCACGTGCTTGTGTGTCGGTGTGTTTGTGCATGCGTGCATGTTTGCATGTTTGCATGTGTGTGCGCTGTAGGGTGTGCCGATCTGATGACCCTGGACACCATGACCCCTCAGGAGAGGAAGAGGCAGGGTTACATCCACGAGCTCATCCAGACTGAGGAGACCTACGTGGACGACCTGGAGCTGGTTCTAGATGTACGGACAAAAACACATACTCAGAAATCAGTAACCTTTCGCAAGATTTTTCACCCTTGGTCTTGTTTACACCATCTCATTTGTCTTTCTGCTGCATCTGTCTGTCTCTCAGGTCTTCTACAAGCCCATGTCTGAGTCAGGTCGTCTGACAGAAGCTGAGATGGGAGTGATCTTTGTTAACTGGAGGGAGCTGATTATGTGTAACACCAAACTACTCAAGTAGGTGCCTTTATAAACCGTTCTGTCAGTGGGCATGTAAAATGTTTAGAGTTCTACATCATTACCATCGTCTGTGTCTCCCAGGGCGCTGCGTGTCCGTAAAAAGACCGAAGGAGAGAACATGCCGGTTCAGCTCATCGGGGACCTGTTGGCTTCGGAGCTTGCACACATGCAGCCCTACATCCGCTTTTGCTCCTGTCAGCTCAACGCCGCCGCACTGCTGCAGAGCAAAACCCATAACCAGCCCGACTTCAAAGACTTCCTCAAGGTACGAGTTACAGATAATAAATAGTGACACTACAAAGGTCAGGGTTTTCCCAAGGTTGTCTCAAAATGTAACACTTTAAAGTTCCTTTAAATATTTATCAGGTACCGTTTCAAATATTTATCAGTCCACGATCCACATGAACCACTCTTTGGCATTAATTAGATCCACTCACCAGAACTTATAAGAATACGTAATTTGTGGCGGCACAGTGGGGAAGAAGTTAGCATTGTTGCCTCACAGTAAGAGGGTTACTGGTTTGAATTCTGTGTCAGTGTGGGTTTCCTCCAGGTACTCCAACTTCCTCCCACAGTCCAAAGACATGCAGGTTAACTGGTGACTCTAAATTGTCCGCAGGTGTGAATGTGAGTGTGAATGGTTGTCTGTCTCTATGTGTCAGCCCTGTGATAGTCTGCTGACCTGTCCAGGGTGAACCCCGCCTCTCGCCCAGTGTCAGCTAGGATAGGCTCCAGCCCCCCTGCGACCCCTAACAAGATAAGCTGTAACAGAAAATGAATGTAAGAATGAACATCATTTGTAAAGCAGGTTCGCCTGTTGCTGCTGTTTCTTCGTTCTGTCACAGTGGTGAAAACACCAGGAGCAAAATGCAGTGAGTTGATTTTTCATTTAAAAAAATTGATTGGTGTGTCGACAGCAATCCAAACAACTCAGAGCACACAAGGCCAAGTTGCCACTTAAGTTACTATGTGACTGGTTGCTGACAGGCGATGTTGTATTTACAAGGCTTTTTATTTTAATGGAGTGCTCATTCCTTATAAAACACACCAAGGCCACATTGCATCACTTCCTGCAAACTTCAGGGGGAACAGTGAGGGGAAAAAAGCAACGTCACCAACCTGTTTGGACCAAATATTCTCTGGTGTAGCTCAGCTGAAAACACAAAACACAGAATCTGTCAGCAAGTTAGAGGCTTGTTCACCACCGGACCAGTTTTTAACTGGTAGTCTAGTGACAACGTTATCTCCACTCAGCCTGTTTAACTGACTCTGGCAGTTTAGATAATAGACTCTCAACTGTCCTGCTGTTCTTAAAGAGGTGAACTAACCACAGCCAAACTCCCTCTCCCTTCTCTCTTCCACACATACACGCACACACCTCACCTCCTGATGTTTTCATTTAGGGTCAAGTGTTTAGGAGAATACACAGAATATAGTATTATACAGTCGCTATATAAACTCAATAATATCTTACTGGAAACAAATCTAACATGTCAATAAAATAAATATCACTCCTGACATCACAATACTGAGTAACATTATGTAAGCATTAAGAACACAGACATCAGTATCAGCAGTATCTACTGAGGACACTCACTGTCTGCAGGTCGGCTGCCTCAGGCACATGTTAAGATAAAGTGTTACACTACATACAGACAGCTTTCATTTTAGTTAGCCCAGCTAGCGTGATGTGCTTGTCTAGACCGCGACTCTAAACTATAACAGCAGAATATGAGAGACTGCGGACAGAGCAGATTGAAATATGGCTTTCTACATGCTGAACACGTGTTGTTGAAGCATTAGCTTTTTACCGGCAGAGGTTTTATTGCACTTACTTACAGTAACAAGCGTAGTTGTCATCAACTACAGTTCAATCAGGAGAGGCTTTTTTTTTTTATAGGAGAAAGAATATTTATTAATGTGCACATAAGAATGAAAAATGTGGAAAGTCTTTGGTGATTAGACCCTGTAGAGATGGTTTGATTTAAGGAGGGTGAAGAATCCATAGTCAAATAGGGAACCGCCCCTGGGGTCTAGACGCTGGTGGTGGGAGAGGTGGTGAAGATGAGATAAGAGGAAGATGGAGAAGTGGCGATAATCTGGATGAGTAGAGGAATGAGCCTTTGTTGAGCTCGTCCTGGACGCTGGGTACGATGGCTGGAGGTGAACAGAGTGGAGGAGGGTGCGACGATTCTGCTTAAAACGATGGCTGACAGCAACAGAGGAGAGAGCAGAATTAAAATTTTGCAGAGGCATCCTGATTGGCTGAGAGAGATCGTGGTAAAGTTTGATTGGATAACTAGAAGACTGAGGAACTGAGAACTGTGAATGGATGCTGATGCTTAAGCTGAGCTTCGTTAATCTTGAAGTTACACTCCCTTCATCTGCACCGCGGTCTCTCTGCTGTTGTCTGACTTCACTCTGTTGAGCTTGTGTGTGTCTGAGTGTGTGGAGGAGATCAGCGTGCAGACAGCAGTAGAGACTCTACAGCATGATGATACATGAAACCAAAGCTTTAACAAGTAACAATGAAAGACCTGATAATGTCTGAGCTTATTATTACTATGGGCTTGATTCATTTTTTCTCGGCACCAGTCCCTAGCTGGGCCACTCGGAGGTTGCTTCTATATGAATAAAATATACATCTTTATCTCTCCTACTGTCTCCCTCCTCTCGAGCAGAAGATAGCCACTAACTACCGCTGCAAAGGAATGCCACTGTCCAGCTTCCTCCTCAAGCCCATGCAGAGGATCACACGATACCCCCTGCTCATAAAGAACGTACGTGGAAAACTCTCTGTATGTCTGATTACAGTTTCCCCACCTGTCTGTTTTCCCAAATATTCATCATGTGCTTCCTTGTCTCTCTTTTCTCCTCTTCCTCTCGGGCAGATCCTGGAGCACACGCCAGATGGTCACGCAGACCGCAGCCCCCTGAGAGAAGCTCTGGAGCGGGCCGAGGAGCTGTGCTCTCAGGTCAACGAGGGAGTCAGGGAGAAGGAGAACTCCGACAGGCTGGAGTGGATACAGAGCCACGTGCAGTGTGAGGGAGCTATAGAGGTACGTTTTTATATTCACAGACGCAAATCAAAGTTAAACACGGTATTATGGTCTGTAAGTGTTGATGTTTTATTACCGCAGTAAAGCTCAGTTACAAACACCCTCTGCTGTGTATTTTATGTGACAGATTCTGCAGGATCATTTTGCAGTTTCGCTTCTCCTTCACATCTGAATTTATGTTATCTGCACACACACACACACACACACACACACACACGGTAGCAAAGCCAGGGAGCATTTTTCAAACTCAAGCACTTACTGTTCTTGACAGTTTTCTTCTTCCCGTCTCTCTTTCAGCACTTGGTCTTCAACTCGCTGACTAATTGCCTCGGGCCTCGCAAGCTGCTCCACAGCGGTCGGCTTTACAAAACCAAAAGCAGCAGGGAGCTGTGGGCTTTCCTCTTCAGTGATTTCCTCCTCCTCACGCACAGCGCCAAACCTTTCTCCTCCTCAGGACCAGACAAGCTGTTCAGCCTGAAGACCAACATACAGCTGAAGATGTACAAGACAGTGAGTAAGAGGCCAGACAGAATATAAATAACCTCGTCTGGTGTTAAAATACTACTTGTGTTGCTTTATTTATGAAACAGTCCATAAATGAAGTCATCTTACCATTTTCCTCTTCTGGACATTCATCCATGACTCATTCATCATTTCATGTTCTCCTCCAGCCACTCTTTCTAAATGAGGTGTTGGTGAAAATGCCACCAGACCCGTCCAGCGATGAGCCGCTCTTCCACGTCTCACACATCGATCGAGTCTACACGCTCAAAACTGAGACCCTGAATGAGAGGTAGGTGCACTTCACACACTTTACTAATATTATCACATAGTTATACCATGTAAAGGATCTACAGTGTGTGTTTATTGTGTCGGCAGGACGACGTGGGTCCAGAAAATCAAAGCAGCGTCTGAGCATTTCATAGAGACGGAGAAGAAGAAGAGAGAGAAGGCGTACCAAGGTAAACACTGTCACATTTCTTCTGAAAAATCTTGTTAAAAAGACATCGATCTCTGTGAACAAAATAACCACAGTTAAATTGTTAATTTAATTACACCGAATGTGGCCGTAATAACCAAGTAAACACCACATATTTATTCTTAACACACTGTATAATAACTCTCGGGGTTGAAGGGAGGGTTCATTCATTTAATTTTTTCCAAGTCCAGACTGGTAGAGAAGATTTAAGCACACTTACATCTATGCAGTGTTACAAGGGACGGTCCATTGTTGCCTCATGTTTGCTCTGATGAAATTCTAATAGGCTGAAAGCTCAACAATAAAGTGAAACTCTGCATAGATGTAAGTGTGCAGAAATCTTTTCTTCCAGTCTGGACTTATTGATGTTCCCAGCATGTTGCCAAGATCAAGCTGGGTGGAGCGGTGGTTGTTCTACATCACTTTTTAAAAAAGGAAAAACCTCCCCTGAGAGCATTATTAATATTATCTCTGGAGCCTCCCCTTCACTTGGAAACACTGCAACGCCCTCCCTTAATAACTCATCATGAGCTGATACAACTTGTCTCATCTTTAATCAAAAGAGGAAAAGTGTAACATGTTAAGATATTGCAATTTAATTAAAACAATGTTAATGGAATTTTCAGAAATTGTAATTATATTGTAGTCTCTCTATGTTAAAAAAACGTTATACTTAATAAAAGGCTAAACTATTATATATTATAACTAGTCCATACTGGCTTCCATGATTATGTACAGCATACCATACCATGACTTAGTCATACCAAAAATTAGGAAAACATTGGTCCACAGGGGGAGCCACAGTGATCGGTTGTTGTTATAGCGCCACCCAGTTGCCAATTAGAGTTAAATTTCTCCAGTCACCTTGAGGCGTCCTGTTCTACATATCTACCAAGTTTAGTAAAAATCAATTTGGCGGTTAGGCCTAGATAAGAAATTAGCTCTCTAGCGCCCCCATTTTGTTTGATGGGGTCAATAATGGAGGGGTCCCCTCAGATTATGTGTGGTCATATGCCTACAAAGTTGTGTGGTGATGGGTGAAACCCTTGAGATGTTATACACCTTTATGTGATGAGCCACGCCCTCAGCAATATTCATTGCCTTATAGAAGCTCAGTTTTAGTAAGTTTTCCAACTTTTGCCAAGAGGGAACTTTAGATATTGGTCCCTAGATTATGTTCATCGAGTTTCATGCAGATCGGTCAAACTTCTGCATAACTGCATAAATCTATATAACCGGAAGTTATGGGTTCTTGAGGCAAATTTGTTCTTCATGAGGAGAGGCATCTCTGTGCAAAGTTTCATGTCTCTACGACATGCAGGGCATGAGATATGTCCATTCAAAGTTTGCAATTTCAATCGGTTGCTATAGCGCCCCCCTTTGGCCAATTGATGTAATATTGCTCCATTCGCATCCTCCCATGACCCTCTACCACTGTGCCAAATTTCACATGGATTGACCAAGTCAGTGAGGAGAAAAACGCAGAACAGACACACAGACAGAGTTTTCATCATTATATAGTAAGATCAATGAAAATCAACAGTTCACTTTGACGGGAAAAGTAGTTATTAGATTGTTTTTATTTTTGTGACAGAGGCATTATGTTTTCGGGTTGTCTATCCCATTCTTGTGAACGTCATCCCTCACCAACGCCTTGAGGGAGTTTCTTCAAATTTGGCACAAACGTCCACTTGGACTCAGAAGTGAACTGATTTGATTTTGGTGGTCAAAGTCAAGATGACTGGGGCCTCACAAAACATTTTTGGCTACAAAGAAAGAATTCATGAGCTAATCATGATAAAATTATACGGAAATGTCTAATTGGATAAAATAATGAAGTGATGGCATTTTACACCCAAAAGGTCAAAGGTCATCTTCACTGTGACATCATAATGTTCTGCAAAAAAACTTTCCCAGCGATTATTCAGTGTCATAACTCAGGAACAGAAGGGGAGACATTTGGTTAGATATGAATTGGTGACACTCACCTTGAAATTGTGCTGATTGTATAGACCTTCTGCGCTGTCGGGGGGAAGATGTGTGTGACGCATCCACGTTTTGCCAAAAAATGCACTTAATATGTTTTATTAAATTCCTGGTGTACAACAACCGCAAGGCTGTAATTCTAGTTTGTTTGTCAGTGTTGTCTGCTACTCAGCCACATAATTGTTTAACCTTTTTTTTGTACCCAATGTTTCCTGTCTGTCAGCTTGTACACTGCCACAGGATGTATCAGATGTGATGTCTTGCCCTCGTTCAAAAAGTAAAACAATAAAAACTACTGATCACAAAAAAAGACCCACTCCAGCTCTATTCAGAAAAAAAATCCATAACAGCACCCAATACCCAAATACATTTCCCTTACTCATAAAAAGGATATTTTTCACGTTAAGCAGAGCACACACAGGCACATAAATGCGCGAGCACACACCAAGCATACACCAAATGTGGTCTGCATTGTATAAGCACCTGTATCTGCGTATTGTTCACACATTATTCAAAAGATCAGCTGTTTCAGCTGGCACACTATGGAGTGTTGTAAGTTTACATTTAACGTCTGTGTTTGTTTCAGCACGTTCCCTGAAGAGCAGCGGTATTGGCCGACTGCTGGTAACAGTCACTGAAGCTCAGGAGCTCAAAGCCTGTAAACCAAACGGTAAGGCCTTGTAAAGGAACACACATCCTGTCACTCTGCTCTCCGTCTATCCATCCATACACTATGTATTGCATAAATGGCTCATTAATTTAAAAACCCATGTCATCTCTCTCCAGGTAAGAGCAACCCGTACTGTGAGCTGACGATGGGAGCTCAGTGCTACACCTCCCGACCCATCAGCGACACTCTAAACCCAAAGTGGAATTTCAACTGCCAGTTCTTCATCAAAGACCTCTACCAGGACGTCCTGTGTATCACTGTGTTTGAGAAAGACCAGTTCTCACCAGATGGTCAGTGAATAAGAGACACACACAGCACAGAGACGCTCACATAAACAGATTGTTAGACTTTTGTCCAATTTGTCCTGCCTGTACAAAACAAAGGGAACACACATACGCACTAGCTGCACGCCAGGTTCTCATGTCTGCTTTTGACTTGTTTAAACAGATTCTTTAAAAGCAATAGACATCCCTCTTTTTACCCTCTGTTCTGTGTACACTGCTGTCGCTTTTTTTCTGTGTTGTAGTCTCAAAATCCAGGCATCTATGAGGCTTTAATAAGAGTTAAAATCCCTTGAAGAAGTGTCCTTCTTTGCCCCAGAACACGCAGGTATTTGTTTCATCAATTTTACTAAGTGACCATTTTCTGCCTCTTTAGACTTCCTGGGTCGCACTGAAGTCCCCGTGGCAACCATAAAGAAAGAGATGGAGAGCAAAGGTGCTGCAAACCGTCGCCTGCTACTGCACGAGGTCCCCACTGGAGAAGTTTGGGTCAAACTGGACCTGCAGCTTTACGAGCCGACCAAATGAGGATGATACACAGCCGAACGCACCCTCAGGCACACACACATGCACACACCACTTAATTGTATGGCAATGAAGAGAAACATTTTGCATAAACAGCCACACACACCTTTAAGTGCCTATTTGTAATGAAAAATTATCAATTTTACTGCCACTGTCTTATTCTGCCTTGAGCCATTCAGACCCATTTAAGTGACCTTTAATATAAAAGGGAAGGAGATCCTGCCAAAAATGTAGAGTGACACACTGATTATCAGATGTAGAAATGTATTTGTGGAAAAAATGTGGTCTCGTTATCGACAAACCAGCTAAAAAGTGCACAATCATGCCTTGAAATGTACCAGTTAGATTTGCTACATGGTCGAGTTTTGTACTACTCATATTCGCAGATTTGTACGCAATACTTTTTTACTCTTAAAGGAATTACTTCAGCCCCCAAATGACCATTTGTATATCAGTTACTCGCCCCGTGTTATGTTGAATTCATGAAGAAAATTTTCTTTTCTGGCATGGCTCCATGGTGACCGAAGAATCCAAAAACTGGGAAAATTCTTGATGAATTGAATTAAAAGGGGTCAGTGTGTTCAACAACAGCAAAACTATATCAAAACATCAATTTACAAACTTGTCGTCAGTTGTTTCTGACGGGGAACTAAAAGTGAAACTTGTCTATGCTCACTTAAAAGCCAATCTCCATTGACAAAAGCAGTGATTTTACTTTGCTGAACACAGGAGCTGCTGCTCTCCCGTACATTTGTTTTTGTTATTGTGTGACTTTGGTGTATTAAAGGGTTAATTTGGATTCACTAAAGTCACACAAATGCACAAACAAATTGACTGATCGAGGCAGCTTTAGACCAGCGACTCCTGTGTTCAGCAAGGTAAAATCACAATTTTTGTCAATGGAGTCTGGCTTTGAAGAGAGCATAGATACATTTTGTTTTCAATTCAGTTTCCTATTGGAAAGGACTGGACCAATGACACTCGGATTATACTGCATGACTTGTTAAACACACGGACCCCATGACTTTAATTCATCACAAATTTTCCGCATTTTTGGATTCTTCGTTCACCTGAAGCATGCAAGACAAACAGTTATCTGCAAGGATTCAGCTTAACACGGGGTGTGTAATTAAAATACAAATGGTCATTTGGGGAGTGAAGTATTATTATTAATGGAGGGATACACCCTGTCCAACATGTCTTCATTTGTTTGAATAAAGACACACACACTCTTTATACAATTGCCTGCACACTGCCACACACATCCTTGTTATACTATCATTTCAAATGTTGCACACTACTGTAAAATATAATGTCAACGTTAACTCTGAGTGTTCCATTAAGTCCCAAAAATGGCATGAATAAAATGTACATACAGTCAACATGTTTCTCTGCTGTGGGTGACTTTCTCAACACGTTCCTGGTTTCCAGTAGTCTTACACAAAAACCCTTTCACATATCATGCCTGGGGAAATTTGAGGTAGCGAGGTTGGGAACAGAGGTGAAGATAAACACGGAAAAGTATGGATTTTATTTAGATGAAGCAACAAGTGAAATTGCTATAAATTTGCTGGTTGTTGGTGACATCCACATCTGGAGATCCAGCAGCCGGTCTGATGGCACCTTCCATCTGGTTGGGCAGTGGCACTGATGTGTTGTGGTATGGTGTTGAGCCTGGATGAGATAAATATGCACGACGTTACTTCTCACATAACTCTACCTTAAAAACTTTGCTGGGATCCCTCAGTGGCATTGTGCTGCAGCTGTAACACACAGTCACTGTGGAGCCTGCAGTGTTATAGAAAATATGGTTTAAAAATAAAACGTAATAAATAATAAAACGACCTTGAGGCGAGGCTGAACTCACACAGAGAGAACAAAGAGATTCAGACTGGAGTTTGGGTTTTTAATTGCTCTTATTTACATACTGGGGCTGTACAAACTGTAAGGAAAGTGCGAACGTGTCAGTCCATGTCAAGGCTGTTACAGGAAGGCTGGGACATGCTCTTGGACCCTATGGGGGCTATGGGCCATGACACAAGCACAAGGTTAATCCCAATATCCCCCCTCGACTCCTCTATCCTCAGTCACTTGATCGCTTGACTCAGAAATTGAGTTCCTGAGTGTCAGGTTGATTTTCAATTTTCCCTGAAACAAATGGCCTAATAAATTAATTCCAGTGTTCAAAAGACACCATGATCATTTTCTGGGTTATTAAATAATGAACTCACAATCAGAATATCAATAAATACAAATGCAAATAATGAATACAGAACACAGGTTGTTATTCATGTGCAGGTGTTTGTTAGACAGAAAACGCTGCTGCTCTGCCACTGATAACTGTATCTTCATCTGTCTGAGTCTCATCCCCGCATCTCTCCCCTGTGTCTTACCTTACTTGATTGTGAACCCACAATTGAAGTGGAACTGCAGTGTTGGACGGTTACAGCAGACAGCACTAGAAATAAATGGACTGTGTCCGCTCAGGCGCTCCTTGAGCGTGTTCTTTTTAGTCTCCTTGGGAGCACGCAGTCTGACAGAACTTTTTGGGTGCGCTCTAATGGATGACGGCCGATATACAGTAGAACATTTGCATATAGAAAGCATTTGTTTATGGTCTTATATTATGGACTTTTTTATGGACAGTGATTACAAATGATATTTCTCACCCATAACTTTATTTCATGGGACGTCTCAGTAAAACAACTCGATCACCCTCCTTGTTCTATGATAGTGCCTTTCAGCAAGTGCAGACCAAAATGTGTGTTGTACCCCATTGGTATGATGGGATATGACCCTGTGACTTCTCCTCTTTTAACCTCCTTGGTCCATGTTGGACTTCCCTCAGTGCAAAATGAGGCGTGCATGTTGAGTCTACTTGTATGCAAGTCACTCCATAAGTGCACCTACTCAGTCATCAAGGCTTGACTGAACACACATGAAGCCAACTGAAAAACATACCAAAACAGCTTTTCCCTGACTACAGCATCACAGAAGAATATAGTTTAGTTTTTAAGGTGTAGCTCAACTCCTGTGAACCAGTGAAAAATGAAACGTATTATAATCCTATATATTTGTACCTGCTGGACTTCCTCCCCGCAGACTGATCGTCTGTTGGAATTCTTCTGGATGCAGTGGCCCGATGATTAAACGAGGCCTGTAGCAGGGAGTCGGCCTGAGACATCACAGACTCACTAAGAGGACGGTCCCTCTGAGGTAGAGTCTCGTCTTGTGCTCTTGTGTATTTAAATCCTAAAATAGAAGCCAAATTAATTAGCTTACATTATCCATCATAAACCACCGTTCATACCAGACAAAGTACAATTACAGCAAAAACCCCTAAGTGTACTGAGTAAAGCAAGTGTGTGTTTTATTGCTTTTCAGTTATAAGAGGAAGAATGTGTTAGCTCTACTCTGTAAAGCCACAGTTTTACTTGAATACCCCCAAATTTAAAGAGCAACTTAACCCTCCAAACTCTGACCCACTGTGTTGTAAGTGTGCATAGCGCTGTCCTCTGCTGGTTGAAACCTGGCTATTGCAATTGAATTTCACTATTGGCTGATCTGGTGGCAGGTTACGTATATGCGAGCAACTTTCATCACCATACGACGGCCCTAACACCACTCCACTCCTCGGTGGCATCAAGAAGTAACTTGGCCTGATTAATGGTTGGGCGCTCAACACTTTTGATGAGTGTCACTCAACTGAGATGTCACAATTTTTGACGGACAAAAAGTTTCACTTGACTTAAGATTCATGTCCCACACCTGGAGAATTGTATAATCTCGCAGACACCGCCATATTTTGTTGTGCAATGTGAATGGGTGGTTTTATTAACATCGCCATGAAGATAGTTTTAAGTCCACACCAACACCGACCTTCCTTTAACGTCTCTGTCCACAGAAGCAGTCGTCTGTCAGCAGCAGCAGCTCCAGCAGCGGCGGCCAGTCACCAGGCTGACTGACAGCAGACATTTACTGAACCAAAAAATTTTCATGTCAGTGCTTTTATGCACTGATTCATCGATTTTATTTTCCTAGCCCACCAGAGCGAGTGAGAGGAGTCTGCTGCTCACAGACAAACTGGGAGCTGACCAGTCAGTGTTGATACAGTAAAGTTAAAAACATACGTACAGCTGGATTTTTGTGTTATTTTAAGCAGCCATCTGTGCAGATTATTCTCCACTAAACGCAACAGAAACAGACTCAGCATCTCTGGTTACCATGGAGATAACTGAAAACCTTTCGCTGATGCATAAATTTAAAACGACACATCACTTTAATTTATATCAAGTGACATATCAAAAGCATTAAGTGCCCAACCATAAATCAGGCTTTAATCAGCACTGTGTGAACTCGTTTGAATGTAACAGATGCTTATTTATAGTACAGGCCAAAAGTTTGGACACACCTTCTCATTCAATGCGTTTTCTTTATTTTCATGACTATTTACATTGTAGATTCTCACTGAAGGCATCAAAACTATGAATGAACACATGTGGAGTTATGTACTTAACAAAAAAAGGTGAAATAACTGAAAACATGTTTTATATTCTAGTTTCTTCAAAATAGCCACCCTTTGCACTGATTACTGCTTTGCACACTCTTGGCATTCTCTCCATGAGCTTCAAGAGGTAGTCACCTGAAATGGTTTTCCAACAGTCTTGAAGGAGTTCCTTGAGGTGCACCCTTTGCCTTCACTCTGCGGTCCAGCTCACCCCAAACCATCTCGATTGGGTTCGGGTCCGGTGACTGTGGAGGCCAGGTCATCTGCCGCAGCACTCCATCACTCTCCTTCTTGGTCAAATAGCCCTTACACAGCCTGGAGGTGTGTTTGGGGTCATTGTCCTGTTGAAAAATAAATGATCGTCCAACTAAACGCAAACTGGATGGGATGGCATGTCGCTGCAGGATGCTGTGGTAGCCATGCTGGTTCAGTGTGCCTTCAATTTTGAATAAATCCCCAACAGTGTCACCAGCAAAACACCCCCACACCATCACACCTCCTCCTCCATGCTTCACAGTGGGAACCAGGCATGTGGAATCCACCCGTTCACCTTTTCTGCGTCTCACAAAGACACGGCGGTTGGAACCAAAGATCTCAAATTTGGACTCATCAGACCAAAGCACAGATTTCCACTGGTCTAATGTCCATTCCTTGTGTTTCTTGGCCCAAACAAATCTCTTCTGCTTGTTGCCTCTCCTTAGCAGTGGTTTCCTAGCAGCTATTTGACCATGAAGGCCTGATTCACGCAGTCTCCTCTTAACAGTTGTTCTAGAGATGGGTCTGCTGCTAGAACTCTGTGTGGCATTCATCTGGTCTCTGATCTGAGCTGCTGTTAACTTGCGATTTCTGAGGCTGGTGACTCAGATGAACTTATCCTCAGAAGCAGAGGTGACTCTTGGTCTTCCTTTCCTGGGTCGGTCCTCATGTGTGCCAGTTTGGTTGTAGCGCTTGATGGTTTTTGCGACTCCACTTGGGGACACATTTAAAGTTTTTGCAATTTTCCGGACTGACTGACCTTCATTTCTTAAAGTAATGATGGCCACTCGTTTTTCTTTAGTTAGCTGATTGGTTCTTGCCATAATATGAATTTTAACAGTTGTCCAATAGGGCTGTCGGCTGTGTATTAACCTGACTTCTGCACAACACAACTGATGGTCCCAACCCCATTGATAAAGCAAGAAATTCCACTAATTAACCCTGATAAGGCACACCTGTGAAGTGGAAACCATTTCAGGTGACTACCTCTTGAAGCTCATGGAGAGAATGCCAAGAGTGTGCAAAGCAGTAATCAGAGCAAAGGGTGGCTATTTTGAAGAAACTAGAATATAAAACATGTTTTCAGTTATTTCACCTTTTTTTGTTAAGTACATAACTCCACATGTGTTCATTCATAGTTTTGATGCCTTCAGTGAGAATCTACAATGTAAATAGTCATGAAAATAAAGAAAACGCATTGAATGAGAAGGTGTGTCCAAACTTTTGGCCTGTACTGTATATAGAGAAAACACACACATCAGCTTTAAATTTCCTCCTGGATATAAAAGAAAAATGCTCAGATACCTGCTTCACAAGAACGAGCCATTCTGTTTTCCTTCAGCCTTTCATGTAACTGACGGTCCGATCGGTCCTTCATGTCAGACGCACTGAGCTAAAGAATAAAGCAGTGAATGTTTTGTCAGTAACAGACATATTCAGAGTACTTCGATACATCCACAGCTGTTTTTAATATATTCCGTGAAATATTTAAGTCACATGAAAACACCTTCACCTTGACGTAGTGTGGCTTTTTGATGCGGAGAAGAAACGGATTGTATTCTCTTAGATCATACGTCTCTAGGAACACAAAGCCCTGAAGATGAACAACTACAGCAGTTA